AATATGCAATAGCATTAGAATTTGTAAATAATTTTTAATATTGCTTTTAAGAGTCAATTTTCAAAATTCGGTTCTTTTTATTATCCACCGCATAAAATAAGGAAATATTTAATAGATCAACTTGAAGCTTTATACATAGGATTTGTTTGATAGAACGAGAAACCATACCTAACTTTTCCACATATAAAGAGAAAGTAATCAATCAATTTCCTTAAAATTTGGTTCTTTAGTTCACAATGTTAAAAGAACTTTTAAATAATAAGGCGGATTTAACATTTTTTACCATATCTAAAGAACTAATTGACGGAATTGCTTAAAATTAACTACTTGGGTTTTGGTTCTTAACGAATTTAAATTCCGAATCTCTCAGAGAATTCGAATGACATAAAATGAACCTCTACTAAGAGCTAAGAAACTTACTAACGTTCTTTAAATTTGAAATAAGTATTTAAAGAACATTTTCATAATCCTGAGCAACACTTTGGCCAAATTCGGTCGGTTATTATGCACTGACCACATCTGACTGTTTTATTTTATCTTCTATTATGTTTTTTTTTTATTATGCAAAATTTCGATTGCAAAAATAAATGAATATTCACCAATATTCATTTCTGAAATAATTTTTACTTTGGTTTTCTTCTAATTCTTCCTTAGAGACGTGCTATCACCATCTTTGAGTTTGTCTGTATAAATCAACACTTAATATATTTTATATACCGAATATACGTTATGTACTTGCAGTTATATGTATTTGTATAGCGAAATTTGAACTCTTTAATTATGAATCAGAAAAAATTTCGAAATTATTAATGTTTAACCGCAATTTAATTTAAAAAATTTGAAAATATTTTATACAAGAAATATTTATTAAAGAAAATGTAGAAAATTTTATTTTTAATTCAGATAAATATAGAATTTTTCTTTTTTTTAATTTTGTGTCTTATTCGGAACAATGCTGCATAAAAAATGGTGTCATCGACTATACGAAAATATTTTTTTTTTTTTCAATTTAATTTTTGTTTACTAATATGATAGCCACATAATATTAAATAGTATGCAGATTGCTAATCGTTATGTTATTTTGACACCTACATACATAAAAAAAATAAACTATTTTAAACATAATTTTCCATCATTATGTATACATAAATTATTTTTATACGTCACTACAACATTTTGATGTATTGAGCAATATTTAATTCTATAGGAATGTTCTATAGAAAAACACTTCATTTAAAAAAAGAGGCTCGCTAGAAAAGTGGTTTTAACCGATTTAAATACGCGCTTTCAATTAATGTGAAATTTATGCAGCCCGATTATTGAATAATGATGATAAAGAAGTATATAATTTACAGATTCGAAATCTACAATCTGCAAGGTACAAGAGTCATGACAATATTCTCACATTAGCAACAATATTATAGCTCTTGACAATATCTTTTATTTTACACTGCGTGCCTTAAAAAATGGTCTCATTTATTTCATTTAATCATGATACGTTATTTGACTACTTTATAACGGCCTGGTATATTTTTGCTTAATTCCATTATTGAATTGCGATTTTCCTAACACAAAAAAAATCTAAATTAATTTTATTTTTGTTTAATTTCAACGTTTTTAGTAAAAACTAAATTTTCCTTGACTATTTTACGAACTAAACATTAATTTAGTCACGTAGAATATAAAACGTGGGTGATATTTACGTATAACTTTCGATTTCTAATTTTAAGTCAAAAACTCAAGAGCAAATGAAAAATTAACAAAAAAAAAAAAAAGTTTTATATAAAGAATAAAAATGAAAAACTTTTTCTTATGAATTTCGAAAATTCAATAAATAATACCCAAATATATAAAACTTTACTCGTATAATTGTTCATACATAATGTTATTTACATATTAATTGTAGATATACATTCTTATAATTTATTCATACATACTTATTTACATGTATTCTTCTATATTAATTAAATATATACTTACAAATGGAATGTGTTTTGGACTATAACGTGTGACGATTTATGAATGTGTGGAATAATATTTCTTAATATCAGAATTCAGAACTCCAGCATGCGAAAAAAAATTGCTTTGCTATAAGATTTCTTTTCCCGGACTTTCCATCTCCGATATTCGAAGAAATTTTTTCGCGATTTCTGAAAAAAAAATAAATGTGTAAATTCATTTCAAAATAAAATCATCCCATAATTATTCTTCTTATATAAAAATATAAAATTTTTTTACTTTGAAATTCTAATGAAAAGGTCGGGTAATAAAATAAGAGCCAACATAATCTCTTTAGCAATTTTCGAAAGATTATTTCCAATATTTACTGATGACATTCAGTGAGCATTGTCAATGTATGAAGTGGTTCGATTATGTACAACAATAAATACGACGCTACCGCAGTATTTGTTTGCCGAATAAAAATATTCCTGAAAATAATATATAAAAGCCTAAATTTTTGGAAAAACTCTTAACAAAAATTGACACGTCTAACAGGATATCGGTTTTTTCGACAAAATTTTTTGAATTATTCTCGTTTCCTGTGAATGACGAGAAATAAGTAAACTCTAATTTTTTATATAAATAGTATGGATTTAATTTTATATGCATATAATGTACAATTTTGTATATAAATATCAGATTTACTTTATATGCACATTATGAACATGTGGATATACATATGTACATTGAGTAGGTATTGAGTAGATATACAATATTTGTATAATACTCAAACATTCTTTCAATTATTTTCGTGATCATCTGCCGCCAATTCAGATCAAAGAAAAAAAATAACAAAGTTCGAATGCACTCATTCGTAAATATTCTCGTAAAAAAAAGTGGTTTTTTTTTTTTATTTACATAGGTACATAAAATGATGTACTTTTATACATATATAAACATACATACACATTATGAACATCATTTATCTTATAATGATCGCCAACACATTTGAAAACTTTATTCTCTTTTTTTTAGGAAACATGCGCTAAATATAAGTAATAAAGAAAAGAAAAATCAATTTATGTGCAGATTCAAAAATATTTACAGATTTCTTTCTCATTAAAATACAATATACGTATATATTATGTACATACGTATATACTAAAAAATATACGTGTTTTCAAACTGTTTTATATACCTACATACTGACATTTACTTGTTAAAAATATTATATTCTGCTTTTATATAATAATTTATACTGTGATATTATTATGTTCTATTTTTGATTCATGTAAAAATATTATATACTCCGATACATAGATTTTTAATTTATGTACATAAATGCATGCAAAAGAGTATATATTTCTTTTCAAGTTACGTGCTACTATGATACTTCACCAAAATAAAAATTTTTAAGTTTATCCAAAAAAGATCTAATTAACTTACTACACATGTCTTTGACATTCCTGATTAATTAACTTTTATCAAACTAATTCTGAATAGTACGAACAGCAAACTTCGTCGCATATTCATTCCAAAACAAATAATTTTTGTATGATGTCTGATTTCTTCATTCTGATGAGTGTTTTTAAATTTTCTAGTATTTCTACCAGTTGACAACTGAGTTTCTCGATTGTTTTGGATCTAGTTACCTTCATTAGATTATATGAGTTTCTATGGGGCGAGTACATAAGGCATTAATAGGTTTCCAAATCCAAAGAAATAGTGATGAAAAATTACAAAACACCTATTAGTTTTACATGTCAACTTGGATGCGGAATCTCAATAATATAAAAAAACATATAGGAAGAGCTCATCAAAATATCTACAAGGTGGTGTTAAAATGCCCAGGAGGTTATTCTTTGGAATTACTTTGGAAAAAACCATTCGAGTGTGAGAGGGGGAGCCACTCGTACGTTTACGGATAGTTTAGGAGTGTTGAAGAAAATCAGATTGAAAAAAATCTGTCTGATTTTTCTAAAAAAAAAAGTACAATAAAGTGGAAGCCATGAGTGACCCCCTGAAAACTTTGCAATTTAGTTTCGAACCACCTTGCTAATCAAAATAAGTTAATCCTGACTCTTAACTAATATCATTATATCATACATAATTCGTACACGTAGTCATACATGCCTAATTTTGAAGTACACATATTTGTATGTATATGTAATTTAGAATTTACATACATAAGTACCAAATAAAAAATTTTTGGCACTTATTTAAACATTTAGAAATTTAAATATATAATTATTTTTTACTCTCCCCCAAAAAAAAAAAATAATCTACAACAAAAGCGTACATACATACTAATATAGAGTCGGTAAGCATATTATAATTCCTTCGATTTGCAAGGTCTCTTAAAACAAAACTTTTCTTAGTTCCTAAATTGTCTGTTGTTATGATCGGTTGCTCATTGATATTTTATAAATATAAATAAAATATACACACACGACATCTTCATTTTCTAATTTAAAAGTTAAATTTTATAATTTATTTCAATTAGACAAAAAAATTGTATTTTTCTTTTGTTGATTCTTGTTTTTTTTCATATATTTTCAACAATTTCGATCAATTTAAATTTTTGAGAGAGAAAATGAGAGAAATATATGACAAAATGAGAGAATATTTTATATATAAATGTGCATAAACTGTTGAAAATTAATTAATTAAAATCAATATTTTGCTTTTTCTTATTTATTAATAAATTTCGAAGAGAATTTTTTGTTTCGTATATAAAAACTGAATTTAATTTAAAAAATATTTTAAATTAGTCATTAGAGTTGGACAGCAATAAACATTATGTTTAATATTTTAAAATAAATTCAAAATAGAAAAAAAATTGTATTGTTATTTATTAAGAAGTTATTTAGAAAAATTTTCTAATATTAAATATTAAAAAAAAAAAAATTCTTAAAAATGTTTAAATATTAAAAAAATATTGAAATAAATTTAAAAAAAAAGACAAAATTTAATTAGACAATAAATTTTATATATAATAAATATACAAAAAAAAAATAACCAACAAAAAAATTAAAAATTCGGGACAAAAGTGAGACAAAATTATCTTTCACTTCGGTGTTAATTTCAAAAAAACAAAAACAGAAAAAAATATAAAAAAATCTGTAATAATTTTCTTTTCTATTTTAAAAATAACAATAAGAAAATTGTGAAAATTCTCATTTCATATGTATTTGTTAAATTTATTTTCGGAAAAAATAATTTTGTATTAAAAAATAAGAAAACAAAAATTTACTATATACAAAAACTAAAGAAAAAAAATACAGAAAACAACTTGTGAAATATTTAAAAAAAAAAATAAAATACAAATTCGAAAATAAAATTTAAAATATATAAAAAAAATAAAGAGAAAAACCGAAAATAATTTCATACATAAAAATTTATTTAGTAGAAAAACTGCAAAAATCTTTTAAAATTCTTCAGTTAGATTATTTCAGTCGCCGGAGGAACATTTTGATAATTCGTTATTCGTCCATGCCATGCGCGATAAAATATATCAATTGTTTTGTTTGCAGAAAAATGCATGCAGACAAAATTCTGATAATTATCAAGGTATTAAATTGAGAAATTTTTTATTGTTATCGTTATTTGTTTTTTTTTTACAGATAATTTAATTTAATTTATTAGATAACTAATTACTTTATAAATAATATTTTAAATTTAAATTTATTTTAATTAATATATAGAAAATATAAAATTATATATGTATAGGTATAAATAAATATACTAAAATTTTCATGAATTTTCTTAAATAATTTGTGTGATATTATTTAATTAAAAAAAAAAACATATAACAAAATTTTCCTTTTTTTAATCATAACAAATAATTATAAAAAATTAATTAAATTATTTCAAAAAGATATAATATTTCATCATTGTTTCAAAACACAAAAAAAAGATCAAGGATAATATTATATGAAAATTAATGCATTAATTTCCGATATCTGCGAAATATCGGAACAAATTCTTATTTTGTAAGAAGAGCCTCTAACAGTTTTTTATTTTGATATCTATATAAATTCGATTTGAAAGAAACTTTAATATATTTGTAGTAATGCAATTTTAATAATTAATTCAGCTAAGACGAAGGGCATCTACTAAAATGCAAATATAACGTCAATTTGACTTGCAATATAAATTTAATTTCTGAATTGAGGTTTAATTTGCATTTTGATAGGAACCCATTCATAAATAATTTGCTGAATTCAGTCTAATTCTAATAAAGCGATTTTACTATATGTCAAGAAGCAAAAAGTGATATTAAGTAGCTAATCAATAATTTTTGTTATTTGGAGAGCTATGTACAATATGTAACAAAATAATATTATAATAAAATAATTTTTAATATTATTATAAAATAAAATATACAACATGAAAATTTGTATTATTTTAAGAGTTATATATAAATGTTTGTGTATATTTTGCATAATATAATGTAAAAATAAATATTTTGGCATAAAATATAATGTGTAAAGTGTGTATACATATTAGAATTGTTTTATGATTTAAAATACGCAAATAGTACAAAAACAACAACATAGTCGTACTGAAAATCAAAGAAGAAAAAAATATTTCAATTGTAGACTTGAAAAAAAAAAATTTTATTTTAAATAATAATGAGCAAAAAAATTTGTGTGACATTATGGTGTTCATTAAAAAAAAATTTAAAGAGAAAGAAATTAAATTCATTAAAAAAAAAAAACAAAAAAAATAATAATTGAAAAATTAAAAAAAAAATTTATTTTTGTTCATTCAATTTCACATTTATTTATACATACTTATTTATTTATTTTGGTTTTCGAATCAATAAATTTTTATATTTTAATAAATTCGAAAGTACTTAAATAAAAATGATAAATATTTTATATGCGAAAGTTGGTTTTATTAACCTTTAACCTATAATATGACATTTAGAGTATGTGCTAGCACTTAATGATAACGTTTTAATTTTGTGTAGCATAATATACACAATTTTTCATTTAAAAGACGTTTCTAACACCTCAATAGTTAGGTTGTATAAGTTAATTAATATTTTTATTTTAATTAGATTTATTTACAACAAAACAAATTATAATTGTTTTCAAATTGTAATTATAATTTTTAACCACAGAAAATAAATGCAAATATTTTAAGTCATTCCAATACACTAGATCTAAATTATTCAATTCCATGATTAATTTTGTAGCAGCTAAAAAATTAACCATTTTAGAACTAAACAGGAAACATAACAATATATGTAGATCTATACCTATACCTACATAAATACGTGTATTGTATTTATTTGAAGCAATTTAAAAACTTACGCTTTAGTATACAAATGTACCAAATTCAAAAAATTAGTCTTGATTAATTTTATACATCGACCAAAACTTGAAGTGTTCTAAAGCTTTTATGATTAGAATTAGTGAAAGTTAGAAAAACCTATCTAAGCAGTTTCTTTATGTGTAACATAAATTTCAATTTTAAAAATGGGCTTCATCACTAGAAATCACTTTTATTAAAAAAATCATAATATTCTGGTTTTGTTCTTTTTTTTTCAACAACAAAAATGTGTTGTTTACTCTTCCATCTCCATATTTACTAATTCTAATGTAATACTTGCCACAGCACAGCTATATGATTAACCGCTAACCATTTTAATACAAAATTTTGTGGTAGCCAATTTAAAAAGTGAAATCAGAAATCAAATTTAGGCAGACTACATTTGAAAATCGTTCTTATACGAGTAATATACTCAATTTAAGAAAAAAAAAATATAAATGAATTTATTTCACAAATAAAAATTTTTATTACGTGTGTATGACGTTTAAGAAGTGTGAATCACCCAATATTCTCGAATTCCTGTTGATCATCACGGTAACAAAATATAAATTTGTTACTAAATAAAAATTTTATACTTTTTGAAAATGTTTATTTATATACGAATAATGTTTATAAAACAAATTTTCAATTGATATATTAATTGAAATTTGTTTATAAAATAGCCAAATGGTCTTTAATGCATAAGAAGAAAAAGAGGAAACAATTATTCGTTAATATACTCGAAAATATATTTTCATGATATATATAAATAATGTGTATATAAAATAAAAGTTATAGTCAATAAGGAATTTAAATAAACTAAAAATTTATTACATATTGATTTATGGCAATAAGGCGAAACTGTTTTAATTAAGTAACTTAACACAAAATCAAGAAATTGCAATATTTAAAATTTTGTTATTCAAGTCCATATAAATATGTAGGAAAATTTGGTTTGATACTACAGCAATTATAAAATACAAATTAAAATTAAAGTGAGAAAAACAGGAATGAAAAAATTTTTTATCGTAAAATTGTTTGAAAAGCAAGTTACAATTTCGGAAATCAGAAAATTGGCAGCTAAGATTTTTAACTCAGCAACTTACATACATGATTATCACTAGACTAAGAAAACAAATAAAAGAAAAACCTGGTTCTTTGCAAAAATATTATAATAAAAAAAAGTCTATTTCTCAAGTGATATTCAATGTTAGCTAGAGCAAACTGATTGTTTTAATAGAAAAATTTAAATTAAAGATTTGACTTTATTAGAAATTATTCGGCATTAACGTAAATACTTTTTAATATCTTTATTCGTACTTATATGTACGATTTGCTTTTAAACGAGAATTCATGAGTGTCATTGCAATAAAATGCAGAAAATTAAAGTTATTGTAGATTAACAAAAATTTCATACAAAATTCGAAAATTCAAAAATCAATTTTGGTCTTTGCCAAAATTGAAGCACCCTTCTAAATGAACAAAGCTTAAAATTTTAAAAGGAATAAAATATCGTTACTATAGAACTATTAAACTGTGTGCCGCATTATCGTATTAGATTAATTTTTTTTAAAGCTTTTATCAGAGCCTTATATGATGGATATTCATCCTCATTTATCTTTTTTGTAATACTGATCCATATATGCAAATACTTCCTTTTTATTATTAAATTTGTAAAGAACAATTATAATAGAACCTATCCTACATGCTAATATTATAAACACAGATAAAAAATACACTGACAACCAAATCAAATTTGTAATTTTGTACTTTGTTTAGTGTACAATAATTTTTTGGGACTTCCAAATTTCTATAGTTAGCATTACAATATAAAAAGGGCTAGTACGTCTATACTTCGAAAATGAATGGAAGATTTACTTTGACCTTGAATAAAAAATTCAGATTTTTCTTTTACTATTTTTATACTTTCATGCATATGTGAATAAATATGTAGAAAATACATCAAATTTTTCCAAAATAAAAATTTTACTGTATAGCTTTTGTCATAAGCAACAGTTTGCTGTATTATCTATACATATTGAATAAAATAATACTTTGTAGCATGAGGAGAGCACAGGCTACTCATATATTATTGAAATTTTCTTTGAAATTCAATAATATCAAAAGTATTCGGAAAATGTTTCAAATCAACGAAAATATTTATTTTGTTTATACATATGCATATGTACATACACATATGTACAAGAATTTTATTTCAACAGCGAACACATTTTATTATTATAATTACTTTATTATATTTTATTTTACTATAAGCTATAATATTTATTTGTTTATTTCTTTACAGGACATAATGTGCCAATTAAAACCGCATCTAATGGGACAACGTGTACAAATGGGGGGACTTTCGGAACAGAAGGGCCCGAAACGGCAGAGACCGACACATCAGGGACCGGGGGGATGCGGAAGTCGTTGGAGGGGAATGGCTCAACGCCGAACGACCCTATTCACCTCCAGAGACGGGTGGGACTCTTCAGTGGGGTGGCTTTAATTGTTGGAACTATGATAGGTAAATAAAACATTTTACTGTGTTAGATCTTAACCTCATACAAAAATTCAATGCCTCATTCGCATATTGTTTTCCAAACCGGAGCAAATATGTGAATTTAAGAATTCCAAACGTTTTCATTTTTGGTGAGCCATTAAACAAAATATAATGTTGAGTTTTATAAAATTCAGTTTAAACTAGTTTACATTCTAAAATTCAGAAAAATTAAACCAATTAAATTTTTAAGTTTTTGTTGTAGTGTAAGCCATGCAAAAAAATATAATAAGCGCAAAAATAAAAAACCAAATATTTTTCACACTTTCATTAAATGAGTTAATGATCGAGAAATAATTGGAACGATTTATTTAGTAAATTATATTTTATCCATTATAATTTATTTTAGTGTTAATTTATTGAAGTAATCTACAATAATAGAATTTGATAGTAAATATAGATAAATAAAAACTCAAAAATAAAAGAATGACAAAATTTATCAGCAGTTAATAGTTGCTTTGCTTAAACCCCTTCTACTTCGCCTTATTTGGTCGAACCAAAAGTCAATGATCATTGCTGTATTCAAAACTTTTTATTGATTATGGATTTTTTATCAAATTCTATATAAATTTTTCAGTTCGGCTAAAATACTTTAACTTTAAACACATGCAACACCCCAAATCACTCTTAGACTAATTTCTCAGGTAATGAACGAAACATTGGCTTGTTTCAAAATTTTATTGCACCGTAATATAACATAATATAAATGTTCAATATAAAAAAGTAAAACCAACTACTGGAACATATGTAGCATACGTAGGAACCCCAACTAGTTCCTTATATGTATAAATTGTCACTCAAAGTATGATTAGTTTGTAGAGTATACAAATCTACTTTTGAATGGAACGGAAGCATTTTTAATTAAAATTTCAATTGCATATGTCTAGGCAGATTTTCATTTTATAATAAAATAACAAACCTTGATTTCAAAATTTCAGTAATTCGGTATTAATATACGGAAGGAATTTTCGTATATAAACTGTAATATGATAAAAGACCGGATTAAATCTTAAAATATTAAAGATTGCAGAATATTAGCGATTTACGGCGACAGTTTAAATTTAGACCAAATATTTCGGTTCTTAACATATATTTGTAACTTATAAATACTTTTGCATTAATTAATTAATTATTTTTAATCAAATTTTATACATATAATTTTTTACCTAAGGATCTGGAATTTTTGTGTCACCATCTGGCTTGCTAGTTCGTACTCAATCCGTTGGTGTTAGCTTCATAATTTGGCTAGTGTGTGGTTTGCTCTCGTTATTAGGTAAGTTGTGTTATACGATAAACAATCGAAAATAATAAAAAAAATTAATTGAATTTTAAATTTTACTAAAACTTAAATTGTCAAGAATATTACATTCAAGTCCACTATCTAGCTATGCGTGATTTTAAAGTATTAAAAAATATCCTAAAACATGAAAATGTGTTAATACGTCTGGAAACATACAATAACTTCTAAATTGTAGTAAAACTCATATAAACACCTTATGACTTGTAAGACAATCTACCTTTTAACTAAGTGCTGAATTATTTACCGATTAAACCTTGAAAGTCTTTAGCATTTTAAGATTTCTACCGAACATTCACAGAATTATTCACGGAATATATTTAACTTGTAAACTGTCTATAAACATTTCATAAATTTGTATACTTTAGTTGAAAGAAAATCTCCAATAAAAACGAAAAGTCACCTCTAATTCTTTACTATTGTCATATTTTCCAATAAATCAAAATTTTAAATAAAAATATTTTAAAATACCTACACCTGTATGATTTTCTTTCACCTATACATAGAAAATTGTGTTCTATGCAAATATATGTACACACATAACGTATTATACTACTATGGGTTGAAGTTGATTTTCGGCACCCTTTTCTTCACAATACACACAGAAACTTTTCAAAATAATGTTATTTGTTATGATGACGTTTTCTTTTTATATAAAATATTTATTTACATTTTAAGTATATAAGTAGCTATATGTCTATACATTATGTACAATATATTCAAAATATTTTCAAAATTCTTCACAAAAAAATTGGCAATAGCTCTTTCAAATATTTCCATAATTTTTGTTTTTAAAATTTAGAACTGTTATGACAAAACCTCAATAATACAATCTGAAAACAACAAATGATTTTTGTTCAATTGCTTTTAGTTTCGTTATTTGGTGCTCATTCAAAGAGCGAAATCATTATTGAAATCTTCTTCTTAGATCAGTGTTAAAATAATAATTATTAAAAAAATTAGGCATATTAAAAAATTATTTCTATACAATATCGAAGTTAATTTTAGAAAATTATAGCAGATCTGATGACAAAGTCTGAAACCATTATCTGGAACCATCTAACCACTCCAATCCTTTCAAATTTGCTAGGTTCAGCTGTCTAGAGTGAAAAAAGAACTAAAAACTTGAAGTAAAACCAAAATTTTCAATTTTATTTGAACATAATTTTTTCCATTAAAATTTAATTGAGATAGAAGTGCAGATTTATGATTGAAAGAGTATTTGATCCTTTCAGTTCTAGTTTTTTAGCAGACAATAAAAATTACTTTTTTCAAATTTTTTCTTTAATTTGAATTTTCATGATTTTCATGGTTGCCATTAGCCTTTAACTTTTTTATGCTCGTTTGTCTGTGCGTTCTGTTCTAGATGGAACAAAATATTCAGAATTAATTTTCATTAGCTATACGGTTTGTTATAGGGCGGAAATATTTTTTTTATTTAATAATTCAAACACAAAAAAATTGCTCTATTTCAATTTAATAAAAAATTGTAAAAAACTAGTTATTTCGAGATTTCAGTTTTAATAATTTCTCATTCAACGAAAATAAACACAATTAATATCATATGCATGTGTACGTGTTTGTTTCTGTACGATTAACATGTCATGCATAAAATAAACATAATATACATAAATGTATCAATTAAATTATTTCAATCAAATCAATTATAATGTGTAATAAACGTGCTGAGAAACATACATATATATGTATATACATATTAATACATACAAATTTGGGTTCTTAATATGACCTTGTATAGTAAGTGTAAAAGTTCCGGTCAATAAACTTAAGCAAAAGCTAAAAATTTAATTTAGAAATTTAATAACAAAAAGGCGAATTAAAGAAAGTTTTTCGAATTAACCATACTGGATTTCTAATTTTTAACAGTTTTTTGTTAACCAGTTATTGATTTTCTTCACATTATCAGCACATTATAAAATTCAAATTCTTGAAATATCTTACAGCAATTGCAAAGCGAATAATATTTTCGGTGAATTTGAATTCTTGGTTCTATGAATAGCGAATTTGCATCAATTTTAAGCGAATTACTGACAAATGAAAATTCTGTGTCACAAGTTTGGCGAATGAAAATAAAATATTTTTATTAAACAAACAATTTGGAGATAATCATAATGTAATTTTTGACGTGTCAAATAAAAAAATCTTGGATATGCTGAATGAAATATCTCTCACCAAACATGATTTGAATGTTGCTGAATTCGCCTAGTTCATTCTATTCGCTTAGCCGTTCTCTTAGAAGACAAGACGATAAATTCAAAATGCTCAAGTAAAGTGAATTTAATAAAAATTATAGATTTACGATCAATGTAGTAAATTGATATTGTTCATATAAGAGCAAGGATATATTCTATGATTTGACTAGCCGTGCGATGTCTCCGAAAGTAAATTGTAATTCCACTCAGAACGATGCGAATATTTAATCAATGTAAAACATATTTTATTTATACATTCATAGCAACTCATTTGATTTTCATTTGACTTTCATTTGAAAGTCGTTAACAATTTTTCATAATGCTGCGAGATGAAAACATAAAAAAACTTGCTTTTGCTTCCATAAGCAAACTTCACCCAGTTAGGCATTTGCTAAAGTTATCCCGCATTCTATAAAAGTACTTTGAAACATTGCTTCTTTATCAAATATTTCTTAAATGTTATAACATGAAGTAACCAGAAAATTTACTTATAAAATTTATATTTCAAACATTACCTTATTGACATGGTCTCGAATTTCGATTATATTTTAACCACATTTGATTTATAATGTCATAATTTGTAGGCATAAACACACATTCTTATGTTTAAACATTCCGTTCCGATTAACATGTGCAATATGCATAGATACAAAATATATTGTACATACATATAGACAGATGTTTTTGCATATATTTGATTTAATTCTACATTACATTATTTTCTTATATACATACATACGAGTATATTATTGTATTTGGCATTCAATTGCTATTTTTACACAACTTTGTTGACCTATGAACGTCAGATTTAAGAAATAATTATTTTAATACATAATATTATATACTTAGAAATAACTGTATACCATACATCCTTGTACTTTAAGTCACAACTTTGTTTACTCAATTTTTGACAAAAAAATTTTTAATTGTTCAAATTTTTTTTTTTGTTAAGTATACCTACATAAATACATACATATATTATATTTTTATGGCTATACTTGTATATTCTTAAATAATTTCCGTCACATTCCGGCATTTTTGTGGTGAAATTGTTTTACTAAGTTTTTTTTTGTTTTCATAATTTCAAATACATATATAATTATTGACAACATCAACATGTGCCGCTTTGCAAACTATTTGGTGCGGATTAAATATATTCATAAAAATACTTTGCGTGATTTTGTAATTACGAATTAAGAATCATAATTATTCAATCCTGTTACAAAGATTCTGCAAATATTCTCCGTATTAAAGAATCTAATGCTGTAGTGAAAAAGAGGTGATCATTGAATTTGATCACTTGTCGTCTTCCTGAACAATTAGGAAAAACTTATGCCAACCAACATTATCATATAAATATGCCCATGAAAACAAAGGACAAAAATTATATTTGACAAATCCATAGAAGTTTAATGACTCTAGATGCAATTAAGTATTTTTTTTAACATAAATTTTACTCTTATTTTTTATCGGACACAATCTTATCTTTAGAAACTTAATGAATAATAATAAAAATACTTTGCCTGTTACAAGCACCAATAATATCTTTGAATCTAGTTCAATTTTAAGAAAAGAAAAGCGCCAATTATTTTGGCATTTTGTCAAATTTCAAAAAACAACAAAATATGCCAGACTCTTTTATTTCCAATTTATTTTATTCTTGTTTGTTAATATCTTAAATTATTATACATATGTGTGTGTGTAAATATATGAATTTATATTCATTTTGAATTTGTTTTATAAAAATGTGATATTAGATACTTACTTGCTAAATATAACAATAAAATTTAATTAATTGAAATATACTCTTATATGTATATATAAAAAAAAAAAACTTAAAAGTTTTAAAATAAAACCGAATAAAATATCATTGGTAAAGGTGTTCTAAATTAAATTATTTAGGTCGTCAAAATTTATATAAAATTTTAGAACACAGTAAAAATATTATATTATTTTTTATCGTTATTTCATTGAAAAAGAAAACAATTTGAACCTCAAAAATGTTTTTGTACCGGGTCAAAAAGAAAATCTACTTCATTGCCATCTTTATTTTACTACATTTTTTTTTTATTTCCCTATCATGTTCTTATACCATACATGAAAATAAAAATTTTAAATGAAATAAAGACCAAATATTGTTATTACTGTTATTTATGTACAAAAGGAAATAATGAAATTACCACGTTGCCAAATTTTTATCTATTGACGTAGAACTATACTTATTCTGTATTCAGGAATGCTACGTACAGACAGACTTATGAAAATATTTAAACATGACTGAATGAAAGTAATATATAATAGAGGTCAGAGTTTATTTTAAATTCAAGGGTATTATATTAATTACATAACAAAAATCTTATAAGGATTATAAAGATCTAGAGTAAAAATATTAAAGAAATTAAATATAAACATAAAATTGTCATGCTAAAAATCTCACCATGCTTAGTCTTGTTAACCTATTATTTATTAACCAATAAATTATTACGGAATGGTGGATATCGTTTTTTACAAAATGGTGGATATTTTACTTTAAAATGTGATTTTAAAAAAGTGTTAGAGCATGGCGCGAATATAAGCATGGTGTAAAATATATATTTGAGCATTTTTTCATGTATTTTAATTTTTTTTTTTAATTTAAAGTACCTCAAACCCTTTTCAAAAAGCAAGAGTGTTTAGAGTCTTTAATGGAAGCAAAGATGAAGTACGCGTGGTGAACATGATTGGTCTGATGAGTTGTTTACTTTTCTGCCACAGCGCGACAGAGTCAGTCACATAAGTATCAGAATATTACACTTCAGAATCAGAATATTTGTGTTATATCTTCTCAATATTCGATTAGAATTAAATGAAAAACCTAATATTTGATTTCGAAATAAAATTTAAAAGAAAAAATTATAATATAGAAAAAGTAAAGATATAAAAATTTTAGTAAGGTGCAAACAGAAAAACTAAATAGAACTTGCAAATAAAAGCTAAGCAATTTCAATAAAATAATTACTTATAATAGAAAAATAAAGTAGATCTTGTAAGAGCCAGAAAAATATAAAATAAGGAAAATATTCAGATTAAATTTACTGTCGTTGTCACACTAATATAACTGAGTGGCAACAACGTCGCTTTTGCTAATCTGTATAAGTTTCGGCAATGAAAATAATGCATAAAAAAATGGAAATTTTCTAAATTTTCTTATTTTAGATGATCTTATTTAAAAAAAAACTAAAATGCAATTAATGATCCTGATAGAAACTCGAAAATTAAAAAATTTATATAATTTTGATTCAATATTAATTGTGCAAGCAATTTTTTCCAAAATTTTGCACCAATTTTTTCTCGGACCATGTAATTTCATGCTTTAAAACCCAACATATTGATAATATTAGCTAGCTTTTAAAAAGATGTGACTAAATTATATTCGCTTTAATAATTCAATTGTTTAGTGACTATATTGACATAAAACGTCTCTTATGAAGCAATGTAGAACAGCTACTTCCTTTTTATTTATGGCCGTATTGTTTTTAAAAATATTATTTAAAAATATTGAGTTAATTATTAATATAACAAAGGTGAATTTCTAAATAAGCAAATATTGCAAAGAAAAAACAATAATACTCGTGCAAATCGTCACTGAAGCAAAAAGAAAAACAAAACAATTTTTTAAATAACTTTAAAAATTTTAACACAAAAGTCATAAAAGTTAAAGCACGTGCCATCACTTACTGTAAATTTTATGACATTAAACAAAAAAATGGTGGAAAAATGGCTTGGTAGTAGAAACATAAGAATAAAAAAAATAAAATAAAATGATTTATTTATTTATACTTGGCCCCAATATCAACTGCGAAACGCGCAAAAATAAAACGAGATCTTTTAAAGAAACAAAAAAATTAGAAAAAGAACTTCGTAAAAAACGAAAAATATTCAAAATCTTAAAGATCAAACATTTTATTTATTTTGTCTTTTCGTTTAATTCCTAATCGTGATCGCCAATTAATTTTTTTATTGATTCGTATACTAGGAAAACAACAATTAAAATAAAATTTTCAGTAAAAATCATCGTTTCCTTCGAACTTGAATTCTATAAATTTCGGAAAACGAAAATATTAATAAAATAAAATTAAATGGAGCCATAGATTGCATACATATAAGCAAATAAAGAAATTCATAAAAACCTATGTAAAAATATTAACATACCCACATCCACAAATATTTATTAGCATATATTATGTTTTGCCTGAGTAAATTTTTAAATCCTGTCGAATGAATCATTAAATATTGAACAAAATCATTAATTACATATCATATGTATATGTATACAAAATATATGCGTTAATACACACAATAAGTGTATGCGTGTGTTAGAAAAAAAATGTATTTTAATATCACGTCATACGATATAATACTAGTGTTACAGCCTATAACATTGAATGTCCTTGAACGAAACATATCATAAAGAGTACAACAAAAAAAATACATACGTGTACGAAACAAAAATGTCTGATATATAAGCATATACATATGTATTAAAAATTAAAAAAGTTTTGGATGCGATTAAAAGCTGAAGTGCTTTTAATTCACCACCTACACCAGTTCTTTCGTGCCTTTGAAAATATTCTATACTATAATATCCTACATGCTGCGCTATTCCATACTATTCTCATTTAAAATATATCTAGGGGTTTTTTCTATTGATCTTCGTTAGTAAGGATTTTAAAGTTGTAAAACAAAAATTGTAGGCTAACATTTAGGATAGTTTAGGTATAACGGTACTTTTGGATATGCGGCAGAAAGCTGACAGCAAATATGTAAAAATATTAATTGTGATTAGTAGAACGTAGTAAGCAGATGTATGAGCTGACACTATACATAATATTACAGACTCCGTCATGGGTTCTGTTAAACGTGATATTAACATACTCTGGTAATACTTATTTTCCGTTAAATTTTATTCTGATTACTTTACTATTACATGCTGTTATACTAATTAATTGATCGAATTAAATAATTTAAAAAAAAAATGTTTAATTCTTATCATATTAATTCACAATTTTCTTTTTTTCATTTTTGTCTTTTTTTTATACATAGGGGCTTTGGCATACGCTGAATTAGGTACAATGAATACATCATCTGGTGCTGAATGGGCCTATTTTATGGATGCGTTTGGTCCTGCACCAGCATTTTTGTTTTCATGGGTCTCAACATTGGTGTTGAAACCGTCACAAATGGCAATTATCTGTTTATCATTTGCCCAATACGCTGTTGAAGCATTTGTTGATGAATGTGATCCACCAATGTCTGTTGTTAAAATGGTTGCACTTGTTGCGATTGTTATGATCCTATTTGTAAACTGTTATAGTGTTAATTTAGGTATGGCTGTGCAAAATATATTTACATCGGCTAAATTGGTTGCTGTATTGATTATAATATGTGGAGGTGCATATAAATTATTCCAAGGAAATACACAACATTTGCAAAACGCATTTACTGGTCAAACACCATCCATTGGAGCAATTGCAACTGCATTTTATACCGGTTTATGGGCATATGATGGATGGAATAATTTAAATTATGTTACTGAAGAAATACAAAATCCTAGCAAGTAAGTTTTAAAATATTTATAATTTTAATAAAATATAAATTATCTTTTAATTTAAACCTAATATTTTACTTTATTTTTTAACTAATACTCTTTTTTTATATTTTAGAAATTTACCACGTTCTATTATTATTGGAATACCATTGGTAACTTTATGCTACATATTAATTAATATTTCGTACCTGGCTGTAATGTCATCCACTGAGATGATTGAATCGGAAGCTGTTGCTGTAACATTCGGTAATCGAATGCTTGGTGTATTAGCATGGTTAATGCCACTTAGCGTTACTATTAGTACATTTGGAAGCGCTAACGGAACATTATTTGCAGCTGGCAGGTAATTTTCATATTTCAAAGTGCTTCACATTTTATATTAACCTTTATCGCTGACAAAAATGAGAATTATTTTTAGAATAACAAATTTAAACTTAAAACTGGTGCAAGTCATATGTTGCACATAAAATCTGTAAAATGTAATTACATATTGTGATCAATTTTGTGTTTTGAGTTAAAAAAAAAACAGTAAAGTGCATTCACCTGAGTGTATTCGCATTCATATAAAATTCTTAAATTATCAAGCACTATTCTCCGTGTTTAAGCAATTATCACGTTTCTCTACTTAAAATGCGGTTTTTAGAGGCAATGATGACGCTCGCAACCCTTCTATTTCCAATAATAATTGCTATCATTCTAGTAAATTATTTTCTTTTACATTCTATAGTATAACACGTACTCAGATCTATTAATTCTAAATGTAAAATCTAAAATTTTCAATAGTTTAAAATTGAAAATTTTTACAAAAAAGTTTCAAAACTAACCAGACCAAAAAATATTAAATTTGAGACAAACTAAAATTGTATGAATGTGTTTAATTTATATTCGAGACTCGATATAAATTATATACATTTTTATTGTATATTTGTATACCCACATACACAGAAACTTCTGAATGAATGATCTCTACATCATAAACTTTTATTAATTAATTCGTTTGGCTTAAATTGATCTACTTTGAAATAGATATGCACATCACAAATTAATTGTAACAAAATCATACCCCATGGCAAATCAACGTGAATTTAGATTTTAATTTATTGAATTTCTCAATTTAAATGATGTAGAAAAAAAAAACTCATTCACAATAATTCTTAATTAAAAATAATTTTCTTATATATAAACAAATTAATTTTATGAAAATTTTAACGCTATACGTACTACAAAAACTAATAAAAATTCATTTTTTAGATTATGTTTTGCGGCTAGTCGTGAAGGTCACCTATTGGATATTTTATCATATGTCCATGTGCGCCGTTTAACTCCGGCACCGGGTTTAATTTTTCATGTAAGTAAAATAATTTTAAAATTATATATTTATTTATAAGATTTTTTTTTCATTTTAGACTCTTTGTTCTTGACAGTGGTAATAAACTTCACTGCCAATAATACAAGTATTTTAAATTAAAAAAAAAAAATTAATTAAAATATGTATGTTAGTTTTTTTATATTTCATTATCTCTTTGCATTCCGAGTTTATTCAAGAAAGTTAAGAGTAAATGAAAAGTCAATTAAAATAAATTTAAAAAGTTTCAGAAGGTGTTTTCCAAAAGTAACAAAATTTTGAATGCACTGTTGAACAATTTAAATCGAGTTCAAAATTTTACCATATAAAAATATAAATTTAATGAAACACATTAAATTTCCACAATACATTTTTACAACGCTTACATTTTATGTTCGTCTAAAAGGTGTTTTAGAAATTTTAGGATCACATTCACAGATTTTACATTTGTATTCTTTTCATAAGATTTAATCTAATACGTATCAGATTTTAATTACACATCAAATTTTCATCAGATTCAGATGTAGTTTAAGATTAATTCTAATGTGTAAAAGGTACCTAAGAAGCACCTTACTTACTTCTTTGCAAACTGCCAGAGTAAGTTAGTAATATGTTAGAACATAATTTTCAATAACATAGTAATTAATTCTAATTACCAACAAACCAAAGCTGATTTAAAAGTCACTAATTTATAAATTAATTATTAAGCAATTTTTGTTTACTCCCACATTTTTATTGATGAAAGTTAAAGTTTTCGAATTCGTTCAATAATTAAAAAAATTTGTTCAAATTTCATATGGCTTATATAAAATTAGAACTATCTATATTATGCATCTTATAGCAAGATCACAATAAGTCTGCATACTAATTTTGTGATTGAATTATAATAATGTTTACCATAATTGAATTTAGAAAAACTGTAACCATTTCCGAAGAACTTAATGCCGCGATTTTAATAAATAAACAAATAAGCAAGCATCAAAATATAATTACAAAAATTAAGCATTCAAATTACTGAAAAACACATAATTAATTATGCCTCCACAAAGGAATTCAATTAATTAGTGAACTTTGCATGAACATATTCATGCAAATCCTCATTCTTGTTTTTATTTTTTTTAAATAATTTAAAATTTTTCTATTTTCTATTTTCATTTTAAAATTATTTATAATTATTTCAATATGAAGATCTTAAATATTACTGCTAAATTATTTAAACTTCATTAACAAATAATTTTTTCTTTATATTTTTAGTCTTTGATTGCAGCTGCTATGGTCCTATATGGTACAATTGATTCTTTAATTGATTTCTTCAGTTTTACAGCATGGATATTTTATGGAGGTTCAATGTTAGCATTAATTGTTATGCGATATACAAAACCAAATCATCCAAGGCCATATAAAGTGCCATTAATCATTCCAGTTTTGGTATTGATAATATCTGCATATCTAGTTGTTGCACCAATTATTGACAAACCACAAATTGAATATCTTTATGCTTTAATATTTATATTTGCTGGATTGATATTTTATGTACCATTTGTAAAATTGGGAATGACACCCAGTTTTATGGGTAAGTATTAGTGTTATAAAAACTTAGGCATACATAGTTTTTTCTGTTTTGCTTGTATTTTAAAAACAAAATCAGATTGAAAAAACATTGTTTGTGATGAAATGTCATTGTTTCTCTCAAATTAACAGTTTTGTAAAAAAATTCTTACATAAAAAGCTATTATATTTACTTACCTGCAAAAATATTTCAATTAATTGCACAATTTGTATCAAATTTAATGTCCATGCCCTCATTTGTGTTCAAAATATAAATTCTTAGCATATATTACTAAAGATCTTTGCACCCAAATATTTTTAAATTATAATCAAAAGTTTGTTCGGAATAAATTTGCAAATTGTAAGTGTCTTTCCATTTACTTATGGATACTAAAAATGTAGTTTTGCCAATAAAATCATCCATTTGCAAAGAATGTCGAAACAAAAATCAAAACAAAAAAAAACAAGCAAAGCAAATAACAATAAACAAAAAGCTGCACCGAAGTAATATTAACTTTCCTACAAGTTCTGTGGCACAATTTCGGCAGAACTACAAAATTAAACGAAACTGCAACTATTAATTTAATCTAATCGCAACTTGAGAATAATACCGCAACCCCTCAAAATAATTAATTTTCTCTCTGGATATGTAGTTGAAAACGTAAAATTCATTTTGCTTCAATGAACGTTTCTGTATCTTGAAAACTATCCAGTTTTGAAACTTTTTGTAAGCGCGATTTTCTTTGTTAAATTTAATACTGCGATATTTCTAGATATCACTTTAATTCCGAAAATGATCTTAACACCGCAAAATTAAAATCTATCTATTCAGAAATGTTGTGGCATTATTCTCAAGCTGCGAAATATAAGCAAGCTACACATTTACTTTGAGTTACAAAGGCAATGTCGCTAATAGTAGCAAACGATTTTTAACGATTAAAGCAAAAGCTTTAGAAGCTACACGTGCCTGGGAATTGCTTTAAAAAATCAAAATTAAATTTTGGGTATTAGTGAATTAATCGCAAAGTGTTAAGCAAAATCGGACTAGGTATATCCAAATTCTCTCGTAAATGTAAAATAATATTTATGTAACTTTATTCGTTTTACAAGGAAAATGAAAGGTTAATTTACGAATGACTTCATTCATAATCATTTTCGAACTCCAATTATTTTACTATAACTTAATTTTAAAATTAAAGAATATAGCTACCTACACCTATGTGAATTTCAAATATTTTATTTTTATTTCAGATAAAGTAACACTATTTTTCCAGCTATTACTGGAAGTTGTACCCACCTCTTCAATGGCAATGTTTGATTAATGAGATATGAATATTATGGAAACATACATATTATTATTGATTAATTACTTAAATTTTTAAAAATATATCAATATTTTATTATATTTTTAAAGAGCTTTATATTAAGAAGAGACAAAAACAAAAAAAAAACAAAATCAAAGGTTAAATTTTATTTCTTTGATGTACATTTTAGTATACACATATTATATATTATAAAATAATATTATATATTTAGTAGATGTAGGATTAAAATGCAAAGCATTAAAATTATTATAATATTGTAATAAAATTAAAATACTTAATTAATATTATACATTATATAGTAATTATTATGTAAATGTACATAATGTTATATTATAATGAATGTTTTTTTTTTACTATAATTAAACTCAAAATATAAAATTTTATAGACTTTATATTAAAAATTTATAAAAGCAATTGGTTACAAATTAAGTACATAAAATATATTATAAATTTTATATTTATTACGTATAGTGTAATTTCTAAACTATATAAAAGATGGAGTTAACGTACAATTCAGCGGTTAGTTTAGTTTAATCCTTATAACCTACGAAAAGTAAGAATACGTTAATGCCATCTTTTGACGAGTATTGGAAGTCACACATTTTATTGAATTTTAATATTCTATAGAATCGTTTTTGTTTTTAATTTTGTAACATTATTTTATTGTAAATATAAATTATTTAATAAAATGCTTTTGCTAAAAATATATGTGTTTTTATTTTTTATTTTAAGAATTCGAATTTAATAATTAATTTTTTTAATCCAATCAAAACATTTTAAGGACTACTTCGTTTACATTAGTGATGCTTGCACGATTACTCTTACATTAATGGTTGTTAACATACATCCTACGCTAAAAGAAAATCAAACAAAGGGGGTATTCAAACATTATGTGGAAATAATATTACAGATTGAAATAATATTACTTGAAATCGACATGAGATTGACATTAGCTGCCATTTTCAAGCTTTTAGTTTGCGTATATTCAGACTTGAAACCACTTTAAGTCAGTTCCAGGCCCAGAAATTGATTAAAGACAAGAGTCATTATTTGAACACACCTTTAACGTAAAAGCATTGTCAAAATTTTGATATTACGTAAGCTAATCTGAATTATAAGACAAATTTTTTGTCCTAACGGGCAAAGCAAATAACCTATTCTAAAACTTCAAAATAAAAAAGTGTCATTGGAAATCTCATACAAAACATGCCATGCCGTTGACAACCTTCGCTTATTAAAATTTTTTCTTAAAATTTCGTGTTCAGAAAGGAAAGTATGTATTTTATTTTAAAGATTTTCACATTTTTTAGTCTCTTCGTCAAAATTTATTATTTTACTGCGAAAATCTTGCAAAAATATCTACAAAAAATTAATGTTTCAATAGAATTCCTTTTATTTGCTTACCGTCAGACAAAGTCTACTGTCGAAAGGGTTTTACATACACAGCTTAAATTTTAGATATTGCCGTATACATAAACAGTTCCTTAAGAAGGAATATTATCAAAATTGAAAATGACAATGCTGTGCGAAATGGAAATAGCAACATAATAAGAAATCGTTGACTTTTTTAAAACAATTTTTTTTCTTAGCATGGGACAATAATGGCTTTACTTTCAATTTACAAAAAACGCATCTGATTGCGAATATATCTTTTTCTATAGTTGAGACATAGTTGAAAACAGAATTAGAGTGATTTTTGATTTTCCGCACTAAAAACTTAGAATTCGTATAGAATACACATATTTAAATTGGACTGCCCTAAATAAATCGAAATTACCGCCGACGATAAAATAACTGAATAAAAAGTGAGAAAAAAAAGCGAGATACACGATTAGACTAATTTCTCTTGATTTTTATCTGTGCTCCTAACTTTTTTGTTCTTACCTCAATTAGAAAGATGTGCTCAAAATATTTAAGCTAAGTGGCAATTCTAACTTTGTGGTTTTTATTATTTTGTGGAACGTAACCCCAAGAAGAGCTTTTTATGCTATATGCATAGGAAATAAAATTCAGAATACAATAAGTGATAACGCTTTGGCGCATGTTTTTGTTACTACTTAAAGTGTTGAACAACGATTGTTAAAAATTTGATAAAATACTTGGAGTTATTTAATTTTTTTTTAAATTTAAAACACTTATTAGATTTAATGTCATAGAAACCAAAAAATGCAGGAGAAAAGTGATAAATTGAATTTAGTCAACCAACAAAACAGTACTTCTCTTAACGAAGTCGGACTTGAAATTGAAGTTGAAAATTTTAGTGGAATTAGCTCAATTTCTATAACTTATGTGGATGATATGCCTTGTAAGCAATCTAAGGATTTATTTAAAAACTGGTATTGTGCAATGTACGGAAGATTTTGGCAAAAGTGTGGACCCAGAAAATATTTATGTTTAATTTGCAACAAGCATCTTGTCAAATGTGAGACTTTATTTTATCATATTAATATGCATACTGATTGTAAGTTATATGAGTGTCATTGCTGTAAAAAGAAGTTTTATTCAAAAACCGCACTTACTAAACATGGAAGGAAAAATCATACATATGAATTTGGTTATGTCCTCAGCTGCCCAATTTGTAATAAGTCTTATAAAACTGATCGAATTTATTTAAAACATATAACCGAAGAAATCAATCAAGTGGAGTAATGAGTTACATAATTAGAGATGGCAAAAAAATTAATGTAAGTACGTATACATATGGATATAAGGCACAATATTGTAAAATGGATTTTTGTTTGCTATATACCCATATCATATTTCATATAAAGAAAGTTTATTAAAATTATACAATCATTACACATGAAGTCTAATGTAGACTGCTACTAACTAATGATTATACAATAAGATTTAGAATAAAGTTAATTTCTGTACATAAAATATTGAAAAAGTGGAATGAAATTCAAATTTTCTGTTCTAATTTAAGTCAAATCTATTCTAATTTGAATTAAAAGAAGTTCAATTCTTTATTTTTAATAAAAAAAATTCTGTTAATGTTATCTTAAGCATAATATAAAAAATAGTTACTTTACTTCATTTGTTTGCAGGTGTAATAATATGTGGTTACAGAAAGGTTTTTAAAAGTACCTACGTAAGTTAATTTTAAATTGTTTGGTATGAGCTTTAAAACAAAAGAGTTGGTGTAATATGATCTGGTGCATGTTACAAAAAAATTTTCCTAAATTTTCAAAGACTAAAAAGAACTAGTGTAGAAAATATGTAAAGAACAGAAATAGCCCAGAATTGAAATTGCGGTTTAGTAAATCAGGAAAATTAACTATATGTAAACAATTTCGAAACTTAAACTATACTAGATTCGGGACTATTTAGTGATTAAGATTTTTATTTTGTTAAGCTATTAATTGATTTTCAAATTAATAATTTGAAAAATAATAATATGGAACGTATGAAATCATCAAATAGCAAACTGAAGTTATTTTTCAATTGGGACATGTCCATTTAAAGTGTGGTAAATAGTATATTGTAGCAAGTAATACAAATATATTTAAGTAGGGTGTTAAACAAAACTTGGAAAATTTGAATTAACTTCCGCAAGAATCGATGCAAATTGCATTATGTATTCACTTGAAGTTTTTTTTTTAATGAAAAGTATTAAACACAAAAAGAGTTTATATTTTATTAAATTTAAAACTGTTTTTGCTATTTGAAACTTTTCAGCACTTACACCAGCTGGTCTTGAAATGTTTTCCGAGGGGTTCCTTAATATATATAGAAAATTCTGCAGCACCAGGTTTGAAAGGATACAAACCACTTTTTTTGAAGATATTTCTGACTAGTTCTGTCCGATCATTATCACCTTAATCACGCTTCAAAAGTTGACGAAAATTTTCTTTGATCATTATTTTAGGCGTTGAAAGTCTTTTAATAATCATATATATTTTTTTTTTAATCTACAATGAAAAAACAAGGATTCCATTTGAAATCTCCATTTTGCTCTATTGTTAACTATTGGCGGGATTGATCCCATAACAAGCCTGAGCTGTTTACATTCGACCTTCTGGATCTTTTAGATCGGATTTTTATTAAAAATAACCAAAAAACATAAAAGCATTTCATCCCCGTCAAAAGATCTAGTTAGTTAGCTAAATATGTCTGTCTAATTATTTTCCTTTATCTAATAATCCTCTACCATCGTTGAACCAATTTCTATTATATCTCCTTGTAATAAAGACTTACTTAAAGCTTAAGCATTATGACCTGTTACATGCTGTGTCGCTTAAAATTGCATAATACATTTTTCCCTTGGCCTATTTTAAATGGCGTTTTTCTCTTTTTGTCAAACACGTCCAAAAGTTCTTTTTTTATGTGAAGCCAAATTTCGCTAAAAGCCAGTCGGCTTTTTTTCATCTTGTCTTTATTATAACAATATACCTATTTTAGTTATCTAGACTACCTTCTTTCGGTTTACTACGAATTTTGTCGTACAAATTGGTAATTGGAGTACCATTTTACTTTCTGGCTTATATTATGGAAATTAAGCCATTTTTGATTTTTCAAAGGACGCTGGTAAAGCAATTTCCATATATTTTTGGTGTCTTTCTATTATTTTCCTACAAAATAATTTTTAAAAAATAAATATGAATGTACATATTATTATTTCCTATAAATTTGTTGTCTGAATAAAGGAACGTAATGTTTTATAACGAAAAAACTGTCAGAAATTTTTTAAAATTTAATATTACTTTGTTCAAATACGCAAAAAATTGATGTAAAAATTATTTTTTTTAAAAATTAAAAAAAAAACATAAATTAATGGTCCTAATATGTTCTAAAAATTTCATTGTTGCATATTTGCTTATATTGTCAGTAGGACTATAAGAAGAAGGGATATAAACAATGAAAATTGTACAATTAAGTTATGTCCTCAAAAGCGATTGCACCTACAAATTGTTACTTAATTACACTCTCACTAGATCCTATAAAGTTTAGGGCCCAGCAGTTTTGTAACAAGTAATAATAATTTTTCATACCCTGTATGGAGCCCTTGTGCTCGTCCGACGTTCAAAAACGAATAAAGCAAGTACCACTAGACTTTCACGAATTGTTTCTTTTTTGACAATTTTAATTGGACCAATTGGAAAAACGGGTTTGGGTAGCTGCGATACAGCTCAAATTGATTATTTTAAAGATTTCAAAACATAATAAAAATATTAATATATTTTGTATAGGTGTATTAAATTACATTTTAAATAAATTCTTATAATAAAAACTTTAATAATGGTTGCACTGTCATACAATCCTAAAAGCTAATTATATTCTTAAAATACGCAATTGACTCTTGAAATAAAACTACTTTTAAATTATACTTTTTTTCAGTTTTTATTTTTCAAAGTGAAAGATATAAGTTTTTATTGCATTTTTAAATTTTTGAAAACGTTCGTTATAATGTTTACAAGATATTTTACATATATATATATACATATATGTATACATATATATATTTTTTTCTTATTTAGCAATATTTTGTGTATATTTTATGTATATTTTTTAATTCAAAGATTTTTTTTTTATAATAAATTTTTCAACATTTTTTACTTGATTTATATAATGTACTTATATATTTTTTATCTTCTAATTATGTATATATGTATGTGTTGGAGATGTTAGAATCCAAACTCATAGTTATAATTCATTTGCTTTTCATTATTAATTTAAGTTTTCGAAATTCAAAATCAAAAAATTATTTTTGAAATGTAAATGAAATAATTACGTTTTTTTTTCTAATTTATAATATTAATTTCGAGTTTATTTTGTAGTTTATTTTTGAATTTATATTTTATTATTATAATTTCATTGAAATTTAATTAAAATTGTTTTTTTTTTGCTTTTTTTTCGATTTTACGTTTTAAATTTTTTAATAGGTAATTTATATTAAATACTTTTTAACATTTTTTCTTCTAAATTTATGAATGTTAATTTAGCAAAACTATAAATTTCATAATAATTTTTTTGTATTTTTATATTTTACAATTTTTTTTGTTCTTTTTATATTATTATGTGTATTTTATATTATTATTTTTTTTGTCAAATACTTCTTTTTTGTTTTTAATGTTAGTAGATATTTTTGAAAATAGCTTCGTAGTTTAACATAAAATTTTTGTATATAATAAAACAATATTTAGGATACAAACAGTTCTAAAGCGCATTTATTTGTTTTTTTTTTTTTAATTTTATTAAAATTAAGCAGACAACAGTTTAAATGAATTTCATTTTATATGATTTGATTTCATAAGTTTACCTTTTTTAACAATATTTTAGTTAATATAGAATATTTCGATAATAATTGGAAGACAGTGAAACATAAAAATACATAATAGGTTATAAATTTCAAATGTTATACGTTCTTTTTGAGACTTAAAATTATTTGAAAAAGGTTTGAAATTGAAAGTTTTTTTTATTGAAAGCATTTAAAAAAGTTCAAACGAAAATACGAATTAAATAAGTTAAGAAAAAAATTTAATAGGTTATTTTCCAATATGATTAATATAATAAAAATTTGATGGTTTGATGTGAAGAGTTTAAATCCCATTGCGATCGTATTCTGCAGACTGTTCCTAGTAAAATCCAAAATGAGATTTATAAAGTAATTCATAAACAACACATATTTTAAATATTTTATATTTTTCTGAATAAATTTCATGTACGTAAATAGCATTTTAAAACGAAAATGAATACAATATAAACTAATATTAGTAAATATAGTAACTTAGCGAATAACTAAATATAAAAAATATAATAGATAAATACAATAAAATTTGCTATATGTATATTAATATAGCGGATAATATTGGAATTTGTACGTTCTACTCTTAGAATTTTTAGTACGCAACACTGCGTATCACATTTTGAATTTGAAATTTGTATTTTGAACTCAAGAAGATCCAATATGAATTGATTTAAATTTGAAATCCTTAATTTTTGTTCTACTGTTATTTGTGATTTGCAACTCGATTAAAGTTTTCAAAACACAAAAAGTTTTAAAAAAAAAAAATTAAGTAAAATGTTTTAAATGTTTGGTTTAAAATTTCAAAACAGCTTTATATACAAAACAATTATATGTATATATTTCGAGAAAAATAATCAATAATATAAATCGCAGTTATAAAGAAAATTATTTCTTTAAAAGTAATGTAAAAATAGCGAAGAGAATTTGTCACCAATTCGAAATTCAATTGGCAATATGATAAATGAGCTTAGATAAAAGTACTTTGAAATCGAAAAGAGTTATTGGGGCGATAAAAAATTTGTATTCACTTTAAATGTCGTAAAAATATGATAATATTTACGATGCAATATATCATATTGTGTATATGAAAAACTAAAAAACTAAAAAATATTTCTAATTTAACAGCTAATCGGCACTTTCTCAGTAAAGATTTTTTTTTACATTATGATCTTTATAACTTAAGTCGATTGCAAATTTTCGATTTCTACGATATTGTGACTTTTCACGACTTTCGAGTCGAACCGTTTAAAATTTTATTGATTACCGCAGTTGCGGTCCATTACCGTTGTAACTTGTTTAACACTGAAAAGCTGACTATTATTTGTTTATTTGTTGTTTTCAATACTTGCGAATAATATGGTATAAGTAATTTTAAACCATTATAAAAGGCAGACATGTTCTTCATTTGAATTTTATGAAGTTGTTAAATAAAAATTTGAAATGGAACCACAAATATATATAAGAGTTCATAGCCTTGAAATTTTGAATTGAAAATTAAATTTTAATAAAAATATTTTATTTTTTATTTATTTTTATTCATTAGTAAAATTTGTGTTTTAATGTACAATTAACTAAGCTAAATTTTTTAATATTATTATATTTGTTTTTGTTATACTGATTGTAAGTTAACTGTATAAGTAAGTAACAAATTTTATATGTATATATAACTTGAGAACTTTGAATCTATATGATAAACATTGTAAGCTTATAATTTATAAAACTATTATATTACTAGTGCTAAAATTTTATTTTAGATAAAAGGACGGAAAGTTAAAAGTTTTAACGATATTTTTAATTATAAGAAATGAAAATAAGAATTTGCAATATAAAGTAAAATAAAATATAGACTAAGAGGACAGACATATCGTTTATTTGCTCTAGGCAGTGTACATATTATATGTATGTCTTACAGAATTTATGAAATTATAAATCAACCAGTTTTTTTTTAACTTTATTTAAAATGAGAAAGAATAATTTTATTAATTTTGTTTTATCTTTCGTAAAACTTTGTCCGATGTAAAAATTTTAATATCGTATTTGTTGAAAACATAAACGATGTTCGACATATAAAACGAAAATTCTTTGACACAAATTTATTTAGAATCTTTAAAAGAATTAGTTAATAAATAAAAGTTTGTAAGAAAATAAAATAATCAGAAGTAAAATAAAATGCAAGTATATGACGGCACGTATTTGCTTTGATAAATTTTGCACTAATTAGTAAAAACCCATTATAATTTATAGTAACGTATTGGTAATTATAAAAGTGACGATTCACAATATTATTTAAGTACACATTTAATATAAGAAATATAATAGAAATAATTTCAACAATCGCTTTTTATTTTGTACAAATTAAAGCTTAGTCATCTTTATATCTTATAACATTATAGTTGTCTTAAGATTTCTGCACGTATAAATATAGGTATAAGCTCTTATTTTATACTAGCAGGATATGTATATACATACGTTAATTATATGTCAAATGTTTAATAATTAGAAATGATTTTTAATTATATAAAAATTACAAATTTAAAGCATAAATTTTAATATGTACATATATCAATTTAAAATAACAGGACTAAATTTTGCTATTAAAAAAAAAATGTTGAAATCAATCAAGTATACAAACATTTAAAAATTAAATTCAAGTGGAACCAAAATTTTTTTTGAATATGGAATTTGATTCTTCTCATCACTTAGAAAGCGTTTAGAAAACTCAGAAACCTTAAATTTTTTTGCCGTAATAGGACGATAAGCGAAAAATTATTTTAAAACTGCAATTTCGAAATGAACCATAAAAAGGATCAGAAAAAAACAATGCTAGATTAATTAATAAAAGCCAAATTAAAGAAAATAAATGCCTTTGATGATAAAATATATTAGAGCAACTCTTTATTGGAATTTGTATTTTAAGCAAATAAAGAAATAATACGATAAAAAGCAGAAGGGCAACCTCAAATATGTCAATTATACTTATGTAACGTACATTATATTGCAATAATTGACAAAAGTTAAAGAAATTTGCGTATATTTGATCTGGAAGATTCACTGTGTTATGGCAATTTTAAAATAATATACAAAATTTATTATTCACTTCAAGAAAATTTAATGGAGAAGAATTTTCTTGAAATCAGTCAAAAGCTACAATATAACAAGAGATAAATATATAATGTGTTTATTTATAAGGTTGAAATTTTTATAAATGCAATACCCAATGATATTTGAACGGACGAGAGCAATACTGGCCTAATCAACAATTATTCAAGATCGTTTTTATGTCGTGAAACAAATCGTTACGAGTTTAACTATATGGTTCAGAATTAATATTGTGATACATTTCTCATGTGATAATTCATAAATAGAACGTATATAAGATACATATTGCTTGATGAGAAGGATAGACAGCTGAAATTAATCCCAAGAAAAATTTTGGAGTTGAATAGCTCTAATTTAATAGAATTTTTATATGTAGAACTCCAAATATGGTAAAAAGTGAATTATGGCAGTGAGATCATCCAGGTTTAATAACTCAATGGACAAAATTTATGCTTTTTTCTTCATAAGTTTGGTTAACATCAAGTTCTTTTAAATTTTATACTTTAATACTCGTTTTGTTCTTTTGTGAATTTTCACAAAATTCATGTTACATGTAATTTTCCGTTTTTCAATATTTGAAGCATTTACTTTACTTTTGAAATGATTTGAATCAAATTTTTAGTATAAGTATGCAACTATTTTTTTTTTATTAATGCTAAATTTTAATCTGCATTTACAGGACTTTCATAGGGAATCTAATTATGTATTAATTTTTAATAATTTTTCATTTATTTTTTATAATTTGTCAAATATTTATTTTTTACAAACAAAAAATTCATTCCTCATTTAATTGAAAAGATGCACTTTCGGCCTTTATTTTATATTTATTGACTTTGTTGATTTTTTTCGTATTCTTTATTTTCAAGTTAAATTTTTTTTTTTAATTAAGTTTGAAAAGTATATTATTTCCATTTATTTTAATTTATATTGAATCCAAAAAAATTAAATACGATCAATTCTTAAGTAATAAACTATGGTAATAATTATAATAATTTTTATAATGTAATCTAAAATAATTTAAAATTTTTAAAGTTTTTAATATTTAATATTTTTATTTATTTATTTATTTTCAATTATTTTTCTCTTCTATAAGGAAATTTAATTTATAATTTAGCTATAATAAATATTATAATTAATTGTTTAACTACTTTTTTATCACTCGGCTTTTTATGATTTCTATTTATTTAATTTATTATAATAATCAAAAGATAATTAATTACAAAGTTTTTTCATAAATATTTTTAAAAATAATTTTACTATAAATTAAAGAAGAAAATGAAATATGTATGTATTTAGTAAATAGTCTTATTTTAATTAATTTGTACTAAAGGCTGAAAATTGTTTTCTAAAGAAAAGAAAATAGGTAAAAATTTAAGAAACTATCTCATAAACTTGATATTTATATTTCATATTGTTGTTCTTTATTAAAAACAGTTCATTTATAAAATACTCTTCTCCACTTTTTTTGAAAAACAAATTGTCGTTTAGTAATCAAACAATATTTAGGGCTATTATTAAACAACAGATTATTAAATAAATCCAAGTCAAATTAACACTTTATAAAGTAAAACTAAAAGCAATATTTTTTAATTAAGTGTTAAAAAACTTTACCAAATTATGACATTAAACGGTCAATGCATTTAGAGACGGGGAAGTTGTTAACCATTTTCTTCTAAAGAAATAATTTTGTGGCAAAGATTTATTTATATATAAAATTTAGTCATCTATTTTGGTGTGTATAGGACTTATGTAAACAAAAGCCTTGATTGACGGACGAAACCTTAAAAGAGTGAAGCTAATAAGCACTTTTCAGATTGTTTCAGAACTTTTTTAAATTGCTTTTTTCATTCTTCGTTTTACATATTACAATGTATTTATTTTTTTTTTTCAAGCTCTTAAATTTTTTTCTTGTATTTTTAGAGAAGATGGAATTAAGTAAAAAGATGTCAGCATGCTAAAAATAGTATATATACCAAAACCTTTAGTCCAAGACACATTTCAAAAAGTGTCAATGCTTAAAAGCTAAGATATTCGCCTCATATTTGCTGTGAACATTTAAGTTTACGTCTAAAGTTCAAGCTTGATTGAAATTAGCAACAGCATGTTTAAAAAAGTAAATTAGGTGAGAGCAAGTTACTAATGCGAGCTTACATAATATACGAGTAGAATGAAATTTTAAAATAGTACATCAATTCACTATAGCTCAATAATTATTATAAAATTTTTATAAATATATATTCAAAATTTTTAATTTTTTTTTTATATTTTTTTAACGTTATCAAAATTATAAAAGAAATGTAAATATGATGATAAAAAAAAAAGGAAAAAAGTATTGGCATTTTAAATTTGAACTAATTTAGATTAAAATTTTAATTAAGTACATACATATTACAATTAGTATTATAATAAAATTATCAAAAACTTGATTGATTTTGAAATATTAGTTATATAATAATTTTTGTCAGCTTTGAATTAAAAATTTTATTTCTAAATTTGCGACACTTTATAGAAACCAATAAGTTTATCTCTTTACATTTTAATTTTTTAATCTTTCAATTAAAAATTTTCATAATAATTAATACTTTTAATTTTTATAATTTTAATTATTGTGTAAATAAAATGATTTATAGATTATTTTAACATTTTTTTGTTTTACTTTGTTTTAAGAATGCCTCAAATACTTTTTAAATTACTCGAATATTAAATAATTTTTCATTTATTATTAAATTAATTTAGATATTGTTCTAAGTTTCTATATTGTATATTTCGTTTTATTTTTTTTTTAATAATTTTTAATTTAATTCCACTATTAATAGTAATAATAATTTAATTATAAAAAAAATTAAAGCGTTATTTATTGAGAATTTTTTTTTTTTGTTTGTTGCTGTATGTTTTAAGAAAATTTTAATTTAAAATTTTTTTTTTTACGTTTTATTATCTTTATTAACTTTTTCTTATTTTTATTTCATGATTATTATATAATTATATAATATTTTCTATTTATATATAAACAAATTTTCTATTTTAATATTTTATAATTTTTTTTCTAAATTAATCGCATTGAATTTGATAAAACAAAGCAAATTTTTAAGATTTGATTTTCTTTTTAAATATTTTGTAATTTTTTTTTAATTAATATTATTTTTTATTTTAAGGTACGTTTATTTTAATTTAATGATAAAATGATTTTTAGAAATTTTTTTTTCTTTTTATTTAAATACATTTTGGTCTTGATTGATTTTCGATTCCGGTTGGGAACTATTTTTGTTTTCTTTTTTTTTTGTTTTTTAAAGAATTTTTTAATGTAATTTTCCGTTGTGTTTTTTTAATTTGTATGTTTTTACTGTTATACCATATTAAGTGTTTTTTTTTTAAAGTAACTGTGGATTATTTAAAGCAGTACAATAAAAAACCGGAAGTATATAACGTAGTACAATTCTAAAAGTTTAATAAACAGAATTAAGGCATTTTTGATTAATAAAAAAAATTGGCAGAATATTATTGTAATAATTTTGTTTGGTTTTTATTATATTAAAAATTAAACTTGTATTAAAATTATATTCAAAATAGGACTTTGAATGAAATGTAAGATCTTTTGAAGTAAAATTCAAGGAGTAGTTATACCATAGAAATATAAAGATAAGCCATTTTTATGAAAACAAAAGCTGTAAAATGTTCTAATTTAAAATATTTGATTTATAAAAAGCAAAAAAGAGCGATTTGTTTTGTTCGAAAATTTTATATAATATTCTTGTTTGTTTTCATAACTTCTTTAAGAATTGAGTTTTGCGACTTCAAGTTTATTTCGAGCTTATATAAATATCTTATAAGATATTGGTTGGGCTTAAAAATCAACATTAGCAGATTGAAAAAGCGGAAACAAAAGCGATGTTAAATGTTTTTAATGAACTCTATATTTAAAAAAAAGTAGACGGAATAAATTCAAGAAATTAAAGCAAATAGAAACTCGTATAAAAACTTTAAAAATTCTTTGGAACGGAATTCATTTGGAGAAAGGAATGTACTCGTAAAACTTTATAACCCAACATGAGAATAAAAAAAGAAAACTAAAAATAGAAGTGGAAATTCTTCTTAAATCTCATTTTCTTCAAATAGTCGTTAATGTCAAACTGAAGTCGATTTCAAGTAGTGTATATGTAATTGTCTTAAAAATATATATATACATAATTTAAATCCAATTTAAAAACAAAAATGTTATGTTATGATTATAATTGTTAAAGTGTAGGAGTTTAAACTTAATCAAGTATTTTACAATATTAAAAATATTCCAAGAGCAATTTCAATTAACTATAAAAGTTAGTAGCGGACGCAATAATTTATTTTCATTAAAAAAAATTTAAAATATTTGATGCAATACACAATATTTTACATAAAGAATATGTAAGTTTCCTTTTATAGTTTGATAGAGGACATAGCTTGGTGAGGCGAGAATATTCATAAAACGAATCGTAAAAAAAATTTGCAATGTAACGTAATTCGAAGAACATAATTAAGACAAAATTTTTTCACAATATTAATGGTTATTTAATTTTGAAATAAATTATAAGTTGGTAATTGTAATAAAATAAAATTAATTGTAAAACCCTTTTTAATTGTATTTAAAATATTGAATAATTAATTAGAAATTTCTTAATAATTAATAATAAAATCAATGAAAAATTCGTAATATCATATTTGTGGATCCTTTATTTAACTTGGCCACAATTTGATGGACCAATAATCTTCTTAAAATTCTTATACTGTCTTTGATATCCACATTTCAATAAAATTGTATATTATAATACGATTTAACGAATAGCACTAATTTAATTGAATTTCGTAGTAATTATTTTGTGATTTCGCTATAAGGTTTTCGGATGTCAGTCATTTTACATTTACGGATATCCCATTAACTTTACTAATATGTAAAATAGTAAATCTGATTATAAATAAAATTTTAGAATTTAATAAACTTAATTAATAAATAAGAAGTATAAGAATTGCCATACTTTCACAACTATTTATGAGAAAACTTCCTAAATTAAAATTTTATTAGAAATAATGATTACTGCAAATCTAAAGTACTAAATTGAAAAATTTGGAACTTTTCGAAAGCTGTGATGGGTTTTTATTTTATTATGTCGACTGTGGAGTATAACCATTTTATTTTATGAATATATTGAAGACTATATTAAAATATTGATAGATGAAGTAGTTAATGATTTTGTTCTTCTCTTGAAATAAGATAGAAAAATTCATATTTTACGCACATAATTTTTCGTTTCTATATTATTTAAAATACAGTTAAAGAAAGTATAATAGACTTTTTTATAAGTATATTATACATATATGTAGTTTGTTACAAGAAAATTTGGTAGGATACCAAAAAGTAAGTTTACAAATTTCTTTAGTATTATATTAAATAATTTTCAATATTATCTTGTTGTGGTAGCAATACCACTAGAACCGAAGTTTTGTTGATCGTGGTTTGCTAACAATTAACTAAAGAAGATTTCCCTGATTTTTAATAATTTCTATTACAAAAAACATTTAAGAAAATATTTAACAGAGAAGCAGAGAGACTTACAAGGCTGTTCCTTTAGTTTTGTTTACATTTTTTAATATAAAATTTGAATTGTAAAGTCACGTTTAGTTGAACATTAATTATTAAGTTTGTTAAGAGGCCAGGTTTACATTGCACTATTTCACTGTTATAGAAAAAATCCATTTTTATACAATACATCTCATAGATGTTTAAAAATCCATTGTTCAAAATTTGAAGTTTGTTCATAAAGAGTATTTTATTACCAAATTGTAATTTTACTGAATTTTATGCAACTTAGTTAATAATTGTCAATATATTAATATATATTTTGTGACAATCTTAAGTAATAATGAAGATGAAATTTTGTAAATCGCATATTTATATTATTATTCACCATATCTGTTTTAGTTGCTTTAATGAACAGACGTTTTAAAAAAATTATGTACCTAAATGAATTCATTATTTACTTCATCATATTTATCGTTTCTAGAAAGCCATGCTAGTTCGCCTGCCACCACGATAAGCACCTCTGGATAAACCACTGTGGGACATGCTGCGTCCGCTCATCATACTACCAGTTTCACTACCTTTTCTTTCCCTAGCTCTTCTTAATAAATCGGATGTGGAAGGCCTTCGACTGCTGCTAGCGGAATGAGTACCAGGTCTCCGATTTGGGCCGGTCATAATATCCGACGTTGACGATCTACGAACAGTGCCCGGTATTGGACTTGGACAAAGAAATGGTGAGCTAGCCTGTGATCTAGATGATTCAAAAGTATGTATATTGAGCAGTTGAGAGCTTGATCTTATATAATTATCATAGCTACTACGTCTGGTTTGGTATGGAGATTGCGGATAGGTTAATAATAATGTTTCAGTTTCATCTTGATCAACGGTTTCAACTTTAACATATGGCATCTTACGAGGATATTGTTTCATATTCACAATCGATGTCTGACTATCTGTTATTGATTTTGATTCAGCATTTTTATTTGATTTAGATGTTGATGTACCAGACGATGATGTTTTTGTTATGGCTTCACTAGTACCAACACCACTATCACAAATAATCCCTTTTTCAGGATCTGATGGCGAATTACGTTGACTGCTAGTGCTTTTTCTTCTTAAACCTGAGTAAATTGATTTAATATGGAAATCAAATGATCGAAAATTAATCAAGCTAATATTACGTTTCATTGAGGATTTTTTAGATTTTTTATTTAATTGATTTTTATTTAATTTTAGTTCAATATCATCATTTTCGGCTTGATCAAAATCAAATTTTTCAATTTGCTGTTTATTAGCATCAAATGTTGAACGATTAATTGGTAAATTACTTGGATTATTGTTGTTAATATTATTATTATTACTGTTATTATTATTGTTACCATTGTTATTATTATTGTTATTATTATTAAAAGAATCTATTTGAAGGGGTATACTATCTAAGCGTTCATTATTATTTGAAAATTTGTTTAAATTGCCAGAAGAATTTGAAGGTTTTAAATTTGAAGTAGAATACTGTTGTTGTTTTTGATAATCTTGATTTGACTGTTGTTGTGGTTGTTGATAAGTGTCTCCAACTTGTTGCTGTTGTCTATGACTAACATTCGTTATTGTTGTTTGACTACTAAAGCTATTTTTACTACTAACCGGTTTCAAAAATTTATTATTATTATCTAAAGACTCCTTATGTCACTGAATAGAACAGAATCCTTGTTTGGAGGCATCTTTAGAATCACCACCATCTTCGCTGAATAAATCATCTTTTGGTGAATCTGGCCCACAGGCGCCGCCACTAATTGATGACGGCCCCTGAGGGCCGGCTGATTGTCACCGAAGTGCCAGTGTTGATATCATTGGTGGCCGTACCGGTTTATTTTCTAAAATCCTTTCAAGTTCAAGCATTACTCCTGTTGACAAACGTGGTAAAAGCTAAAACATTAAAATAATAAATTTAATTAAAATATTTCAACTTTCAAAGATTTGGTTAGTATTAAATACAATTAAATAATTAATTGTACTAACTAATAGCATATAAATTTTGTTCCAAATTTAGTAAGCAACATAATAAGAAAACTACATGTTTGCATTATCGAAATGCGCTTAACTTTTGAAACGACAATGAAGCCACCAGATAATCTTTCTTCAAACCTTTCGCCAAGCGGCAAAAGATTTCAAGAGAGATTATCTTTAATGAAAGTTCAACTACCTAGTAATGAATGACAGTCATCTTTTGGTAGAGGTCGATCATACGAATAATGAATTTTTTATATTAAAAGCGTTTCATATTAATTACATAAAAAATGTAAGTTTTTGTACCTGTAATGCTTGTAAACTTTGATGTAATTGGTCAGCTGATGTTGCACCCAATAATAAACAATGTACTGGCTCGTGCTTTAATGACCATGCAATTGACAATTGAACAGGACTACAACCGAGTTTTTCTGCTAAAGATGCTAAGTCCCTTAATCGATCTGAATGTCGACGTGGTGGATCCCCACCATCTACAACATCAGATTTCCAACCATAAACTTTTTCTGAAGATAACTAAAAATTCAATCAAGAAAAATAAAATATTAATAGTATTAAAAGTCCTATTGTTTATATACTTTATAAATACATAAATGTACATATATTTTAAATTAAAAACAAAAAAGTTTTTTTTACATTCTTATTGACTTCATCTTCTGTCCACGAATAACTATGGCTTTTTGTTTTAAATGAACCTTTTGGAAAAAGAATTTTATCACCATTTTGAGTATCACCTAATGCCATTGATAACGGACCCCAGACCATCAAACCCACACCTATTTTATTATACATTTCAGGCAAATATAGTTCACATTTTTCACGACAAAACATATGATATTCTGATTGTTCAACGATTGGCGTTATACAATTGAATTGTCGACAATTTGTATATGCTTCCATTATTTCCACTGGAGTCCAACGCGCCGTACCCCAATACATGGCCCAGCCTTGTTGTATACAATAAGTCATAGCGCGAACAACCTCTGTAATGATAGAAACAAGAGATGAATTATAGTATAAAACGTAAATCATAAGATAATTTATGGCTTTTTTGTGTTATTTCGCTGTTAAAACTTAGATGTGTTTATCATATTTACGTTTCGTATAAACGTGTAAAAATATAAAATCTTTTTGAAAAAAACAAACAACTATCGATATTCGATTCGTTGCACAGTTTTAATGACATAAGGTATAGAGATATATTAGAATAATTTCAGTTTAATTTATAAGACCAATTCAATCTTCGTAAATGAGATGGACTAGATTTACTGAGGTGCCATAGCAGTTTTGGATATTTATCCTTATTTTGACCATTTTCCGTTATTCTTCAATTAATAATTTGAAAAGTAGCAAAATACAAAACACAGAGCTTTCTTTCACCTTGAGTAAGGTGAAAGCGAGTGCTACAAGCAAAATATAAGTCATACTCTCTATCAGTTATTTAATTACAACTTGAATATTTAATGTAAAATTAAAAGCTGAAACACACCTTCCATAGGGCACATTGGATCCGCTTTATGAATTATAACAACATCAATATAAGGCAACTGTAAGCGTTCTAAACTAGCTTTAACTGATTCAATTATATGTTTCCGTGATAATCCCTTTTCTTCCGATCTGTACAAAAAATAGTCATATTTTTTTAAATATTTTTAAAAAATTTTGTTCCGTTACTTCGTGCTCCAATATATTTTAGTTGTAATGGCATATGTGGTTCGTTTCCAACCTAATCTTCGCAAATGTTTACCAATCTCAGTTTCAGAATGTGCTTCAGATATATCAAAAAAATTGATGCCGCTTTCGATGGCCAATTTTAATATTGCTTCCGATTGTTCTTCCGTAACTCCAGGTGAAAATACTGGCCATGTTCCTAAGCCCACATTTGAAACTCGTAGACCACTTTTCCCTAAATTTTTGTAACGAAGACCTGGTGTTGGTGTAGATCCATGTCGTAAGGGTAGTGCTGGATTTGATCCCAAACTTATCGATCGTCCTAAAGATTGTTTTTATTTTTAATTTTTATAATATTAATAAAGTAGATGTATGTATTAGAAATGTACAAAAAATGCTCGCATGCAGTTATATAACACTAAGAGTCAATAATTTTATATGTTTGTATGTAATATGTTACCACAATGAAAAGAGCTCTCATAAATATTTTAGAATTTACCGAAATCAAGATGTCCTCCAGTACCGCTAAACTCCTCCATGCAATCAAGTGATGCAATTGGAGCACGACACCTTAAAAAAATAAAAATATAATTATAAATGTTATTTCATTATTATTATTATTAAAATCAAACTTTGAAAATTTAAAAAATAATTGAAAGTTTGAATCAAATCTGAAAAATATAAAATGAATAAATGAGCTTCGAAGAACGTTTTACAAATCAGTCAATTTAATTCAAGTTTTCAAATCAATTTGAATCAAGTTTTACAATCAATTCAATTTTTCAATTCAGTAACGGTTTTTCTTAAAAAACCGAACCTTGTGTTTATAAATATAATGAGGCGTAAAAATTCACAAATGAATCAGTTTTATATCGGATTGATGTGTCCTGTATAATTTAGATAACGTCGTGTGGAGCACTATTCAAATAACAAACAAGAAAGTTTTTTTCGAAATCATCGAAAATCTGGGACAATACGGAGAAAAAAGCAATGCAAAAATTTTTTTAATCACTGACGTTATGACTAATAACACAACATTTTTATTTCCACAGCTTCAACCATATCTAACAAAAAGTCTCTGCTAATAATAGAAACTATAATGAAAAAGTTACCTTTCAAACAAAAACAAAGCCAACTAACAATTTAGGGAACTTTGGAACATCGTTAAGCAGAGCTGGAATGAAATCACGAATTTAATTTATTTAACCAAAGATTTGATAAATAACTTAGATTATTTAAATTTTTATAACTCATGTGTATGTGGGTAGTTTTTTGTTTATGCTAACAGCTATATGATAGTGCTATTCTTGGATTTACTTTAGTTCTAGTTGTTAGATCACATGTTTTTTAAATTAATAGCATAAAACACATACAATATATTAAGGTGTGAATAAATTTTTGCATACAACATTTTAAAATTAATTCTGTTCCAAATGCTATTTTTAGTATTGCATTTTCTATCAAACGACATTGTGTTCCCCATGTTGCAAATACATTTCCGATGTCAGGGATTCTCTAGAGATATTCGATGATCTTTGAGTGCTGTTGATTTATTCTTGATATTGATTAATTAATTCTTGCAAATAATTTCTAGTTTTTGTGTGTACGTAAAAGTAATATTTTTTGTAATATTTGTAATATTTTTATTAATAGTGGTTTTAGCGCTAATCAAGATAGTTTAAATAAAATATTGTTATCGAAATTCATACAAGTCATTTAAATTAAACATTATTTATTTTTCTTGATTTTAAAATTGCCAAAATGTGGTATTAACAAACAATTATTCATCTTATGAGTTGTAATTGCTGAATTGTGTAGTAATTAGCATTACTACAATTTTAAAGTCACGGTTTTCAATTAAGCCTCCTAGATTTCTTTTTAATTGAAAACGATTAATATGAGTAGAGTAGTAAATATTAAGTCAAACTGTTTTTTCCAAAACTTATAAAGCCAATCAATCTTTTGACGTCATCTTGTTAACTGCTTTGTTCTTGTCATTCAATAATCCGGTAAATAATTAAAGTACTAATTTTTATAATCATATTTATGAATTATAAAAGGAACCATATTAAATAGAGTGGAAATTAATTTTACAATATAATTCAAACCCGTTGCAGTTCAACAAATTGACTTTTTCATATAAATTTTTACTTGTGTATGTATATATATAAAATGAATGTAATTTTATGCTTGATTGCATTTACATATGTATTTATTTATAGTCTTAGATATGGCTTTTGTTTTGTACAAGAGTTGAAACTATTTACATTGATTTTGACTTTTGAAAAAAGCACATATATAATTTTTTTTTTTGAAGACTGAAATGCGGTACACATACATAGATGGTTTTCTATGGTTTCATTTTATAAGAATGCCGATTATTTTGCTTTCGTATGAAATGTTTTGGTATACCATTTGAAAAATTTAATTAATTCGTTTGCAATATTTACTGAACATACGGCTAATGAAATGTAAAGATAAAAATGTATTGATTAAATAATTATAATTATTATACGTAAGTATATGAATGTATAAATTTTAAGTGTAGTTTTTCGGCTGGTATAAACTGAATGACAGGAAGTAATTTTAAATAAAAAACTAAGTAGTGTAAATTAAAAGTGATGATATATACGGCATGATTTCCCGGCATCACACATAACACGTACTGGTATGTGTTAGCATCATCATATGGTATATTCACATATGAATTTAAATGGGTGTTTAAATAATATAGACCCTTTACTGCAATTGCAGCAATTCTATTACAACATACATATTACTACAAAATTTAGTTTAGAAATATTTTAATTGATTAATAATTGTAAAGTAATTCGGAGTCAATTTAAAATAATGGCATAATATATTTTTAATAAAGAATTATAATAAAGCTCAAGTGATATGATTTTTAAAATTAATTCCCAGCTAAATTTTTTAATAGTTGAATCGGATTCAAAAACTCCATAATATTGCAATAAATACATAGAAAGTCATACGATAGAGATGGAAGCATACTATTAAGTGAACTAACTAAAAGAGTCACTTTTTATGAAATTTTCCAGATACATCTTAATAAAAATTTAAAGCCTAAATAACATGTATTTGCACGTAATCCACGTCCATTTGATGTATGAATTTTTTGAAGTTTAATATATGTAGATATTAGATGTTTTTCATAAATGAAAAACAATTACATATTATGGTTCACAAGAAAAGTGTTACCATGTTTTATCAGAGTGTGTACGTTGAAAAGTAAATCAGTATAAACGAGATATTCACTCTTATTGTAAATCTCACTCGTAGCACTGAAAATCGGAGAAATTACGAATTTCATATTCTGAATTCCGAAGAAGTAGAATTGAGTTCCGAAACGCGTATTAGAGTAATTACGAATCACGCTCGTAATGCAAATAAATCTCAAAAGTTTACTAATGAAATTTTCAAACGAGTGAGATTTATAAATACTTAAATTCTACGTGCGTAACTTAGTTTGAAATTCGTAGAATTCTACGAGTGAGATTCACAGCAAGGGTGATTAACATAGTTCCACGTTTTAAATTTAACATTTTAGAAATAACATAAAAAAGTTAAAAATCCAATAAATAAGAGCGGAAATTTAATATTTTCGGATAGTTGCAAAATTTTATTACGATATTAATTATTTCTGCCTTATATATTTTGAAATAACAAATATTTGATTTAAAATTTAAATTGTTAAATTAAAATTAGTGAAATTTAGTTCTCCCTTTTCATGTTCTTTAGTATTTCAACTTAATTTTTTGTTTTATATTACCTCATTAATGGCAGTGATTCAATATAGACTGGTGTATCTGATGTGAAATTTTCATCATCATCATCATCAATGGCTGCTGGTTCTTTTTCGTCTTCAATATCAGTAACATTTTTATTCATAATTTTCATTCAATATTCAATGAAATTAATTTCCAATCTTTTTTTTCGATAATATTCTCTCTGCTTTTAAATATTAATAATCTATTCTAATATTTTGAATTCATTTTTAATTTATTATTATAAATAACAATTAAAATTAAATTATTTTCCTATTTTTTTTAATAATTCTAAACTATTGGCTCTTATTTTGTACACTATCGTTAAAAAACTATGCTCATTTATAGTTTTAAAATAATTTTTTTTCTAAACAAAATGGAAATAAATATAAACTAAAAATTGAAATATGTGCGCTTATGTGCACTAATATCCAAGTACATATTTACATGTTTACATATATTTTATATGTTGTTTTAAGTACATAGATAAATTTTTTTTATTAATATTTTAAATAATTTTTCTTTTAAGTACGGTAAGAAGGAATATAAAAAACTTGCTTTCTTTAAATATGAATAAAATTGTGTGAGCACTTTAAAATTTTTATATTTTTAGGGTTGGAGTGAAATTTTTAAAAATTTGAATTTTATTTTTCATTCCGCATATCTTATTATTTTAACACGTCTGTGTCAAAAATGGTCATTTTAGAAACAAAATAGATAATAATTTTCAACGAATATTGTATGGCAGGGAACAAATACAAAGCAGCAAATTGGAATCTTGCGAGTCTCTCAAGAAAAAATTCTGATAAAGTTGTTTATCTAAAAAATGAACCCGAAGACATTTTGTTTTAATTTTAAATTCGACTTCGACTAAAGTAGTTGCGCTATTAAATGGTTGAATATTAGTTAGATTCTTTTAAAAAAAGGGGTGGTTAAAACTGTTTGGAAAACGGCACAATAGTGCTATTCGATATTTGGACGCGTGCTAGCCCCATAGATAAACAACATTAACAAACTAGTTTTATAAATTCTATAAATTGAGGATATTAAAAAATTTATAAAAGTGCTTGTTTGAAAAGCGATTTTTCTAATGAATTCATCCATCCTTTTAGTTTTGTTTTTTAATTTGAATTAAAAATTTTCTTTTCAAATTAGTGAATTCATCTAGAAGGTATCGTAAATAATTTATTCTGTTAATAATTCTATGTGAATGCGGGTATTCATTTGTTCAAGTAAAACAATCCAAGTTCTTGCTTAACGATTTTATATTTTCATCTTATTGAATTTGATCACATAAGCAGGTATTTTAAATATTATGAGAGAACAGAGTCATATTCCGCAGAACGGACTCTCTTAATGTTTCTATTTGATCTCTAATTTCTTATTTTTAATTGTTATTTATATATGTATGTGCAACATATTTTGTACAGTACCCTATTGTTTGCCACACTAATTTTCAAAAATATCAAAAACTTTACCCATTGAAAATTTTTTTACTATTTTAAATAAAAGTTGTTAAGAGCTTTTAGCTTTTACGTTTTATTTATAGTGAAAATTAATATTGCATTTTTACAGTATTGTTCACATGGTTTACTAAAACTCTTGCTCGTTTTTATGACTCTTTAAATAGTTTAAAATGTTCACAAAAAATGTGCATTTATGAATTTAAAAAAGAACATTAAATTTTAGAGAAAATTTTATATTTAATTCGAGTATTTCGTCGCAGGTTTAAAGTTTTTATTAAAATTTAATTTTTCATTGGTGGACATTAAAGATGATGTTATTATTTAAAGCTCTAGTGCTGATAATGTACTAAATTTTATTATTGAAAACAATACTACTTTTATTATAATGCAATAATAAAATTTTTAGAATAATAAAATATAATATTATATAAAATTTTTTTTTAAATGTTTATTTTTGTACAAATATCATTTGGTGGTGACGTTGAATTGCGATTTTTGCACATTTGTTGTTTTAGAAATGGCAATAATACGAAATTCAAAGACAGTATAATTCACGAGTTATTATTGCTACATTTGAAAATAATAAGGTACTTTTAAAATTAGGGATTATTTTAAAAACCCAACAGAGATTTTACAACAAGTCATAGAAATTGATTGTAGAAACAATTTTGCTTAAATATTGCATAGTTTTCATATTTAAACTTCAACGTAATTGTAAAGTCCCAAGAAAGGAGCAGAATTATTTGAGACATGTAAATGGATATATCATATATAGATATTTCATATATGAAAGGAATAACATACCTCGTTGTAAAAGCTCACGTTTGCAAACCATAATCGTATAAAATTTGAATAACTATATAAAATTTTTGGTCGAATTAAAAATGACCAAGCAGTTAAGCCATCTTTACGTTAAAAATCTAAGTATACAGATTTGAATATCAATTTATATTTTTGGTCGTAAAAGTTGAACAAGTTATGCCCAAGTTTTTCCCAATCGAGCTCGATTCTATCTAGAAAATGCGATTATGTAACATACAATATTTGTGTATGTTTCAAATTTTATTCGCCTGAAGCCATTTTTTTTTGTTTGAAATTTTTAAATAAAAATTATAATTAAAAATTAAATAATTTTTTTTAATTATTACGTTACCTGTAAATAGTCACGTTATTTGAATCTTCACTTGTATTGTCCATATTATTATTATTGTCGTTCGTAGTATTTAAATTATGAATTGTATTCGAATTTGTTAATATATTTGTAATATTACTTGTATTTAAATTTGTAATATTTGTATTCGAATTGGCAATTGAATTATTTTGTATGATACCAGTAGTTGCTGTTGTTTGATTAACGCCATTAAATACAGTTGTTGCAGTTGTATTTGTATTATGTTGCGTATTCGTGACTGTTGACGATGATGTAACTTTTGTTGTTGTTGTCATGTTACATAATACAAGCGACATCTTGCGGGCGCAAATTTTTACACCCGCTGTCAAACAACTACTGCTTTTACTTTTTTGAACCGTTTTGACGTCAATTTTTGCGACTTTATTTATTAATTATTTACGAAAAAAAAAAGTTTCTTTCTTTTTTTTGTTTTTTATATAATTTGCAAAAGTTTTTATTTTTTAATTGGTGCAAATATTGATAAAAAGAAAATTTCGGATTTCATTTAAAAATATTTTTATAGGTTTGTTAACAAAATGTTAAATAATTCACTTAGATTTTATATAGGCAGGTATTTGCTTTTAAATTTTTTGTGTTATATTAAGAAAAATACTTTTTTTGTTTTAAAACAAAATGAAATATTTCTTTGTATTGTATACGTGGTGATGTGTGCGTTGATTTAAAAAATTGATCTATGAAAAAATATTTATTTTAAAATTTGTTTACTTGTATAGGTGTCTGTTATAATTGTTTTATAACTCAGAGCAATAAAAAGCGTTTAAAATTAATAAATTTTATTTAATTAGTTTAGCCTAGGTTACAAACCCTCTATATTGCGAATATTGTATGACTACTCGTATAACAAAAATGTATTTAATTTTTAAGGCAGCATTAGAGTATTCATAAAAATTTAAATGTTATTGTGAAAGTGCACTAAAATTTAAAAATTTTAGAAAAATCAAAAACTAAACATATACTCGTAATATACCCTAACTAAATTGTTCCATAAGAACTTTCAAAGTACTGTAAAAAATGGAGCATGTAATCACATAAAATATGGAGTACGCTTAAATAAAAGTTAAACATTTTATACGCTCTAAATAAAGTTACATTACGCTCTAAATAAATATTAAATATTGAGACAAACATTAATACTTTAGTTTTGTAAATTGATTTCAAATTACTCACTTACAAATTATTTTTTTGTAATTGTTCTAACTAAAAAAAATCGTTTAAAAATTAAAGTTACGTAACTAATTTAAGAAATCGAGTAACTTAAGAGTAAATACGTTTGTCGTACACCATACAAAATTAAATTAATTGAGAAATTATCTATTTTGTTTTATAAACCAACGTTTTTGGTTAACCCACCTATCATTAAGTAAAGAAGTCTTAAACCAAAATGCTTCAAGATTTTACAAATTTAAAATTTTAATAGTTTACAATAAATATTTTATAAGCTGAGCAATTAAAAGTAAATTGACTGCCTGATTGATTAAGTCACTAAAGTAACTAAATACTGGTGTTCGGCAGTTTATTCTTTAAAATTTTTCGCATAAAACTTTTAAATAAATAAGAGCAACAAAAAACTTCAGATGCCGTAATATACAACATACATAATATTTCAATTTAATTTAATGTGATATCACTCTACTCCCCAGAAGTATGCAAAAATAAGAGAAAAATAAAATAATTTCAATAAAAGATTTATCAAAAGTACTACATAGTTACTAACTTCACAGTTTTTAACTAACATATTTAAATGGAATGTGTTATTTTTACAACTTGTTGGTTGAAAATTAATTATGTGAATTTTGTCATTGCTTTTGTTCGTACAATGCTAGCAAACCACCCGTATGTAAGTAATTACATAATCTTTAGTAATAATTCAATTATCCATAATTTTAAATTATTAATAAAATTTTTATTTTATACAAGAATGTCGAAAATAATTTAACGAAAATTATTTGCCATCTTTCATATAAGTTAAACAAGACGAAAGTTATAGATGCTTGTATATGAAATTTCTTGAAATTATCGAGAAATTAAAATTTAAAATTAAAAATACATTAAACATTTAAACAGAGCCAAAATTATAAAGAAATTTTTAATTTTATAATTGCAATATTTTTGTATGTATTTAAAATTGGTTTTTAATTACCATAGTGAATAATAAATTTATCTTATATACATTAATATATGTACATAATATGTATTTATAAAAAAAAGTTTATTCAGGTGAAAAGGGTTCAGTTCGCATGTAATAAATTATTGAAGTCTATATATACTTATATGAAACCAAAGTTACCCACATAATATAATAGAAATCAATATAAAATAAATTAGAATTTTATTTTGAGGTCTTATTATTTTACCATTAAAGTAATGTAATTATTATTTTCCTTAAGTTTTGTTATAATAAAACTTTTGTTTATTTTACACACCAGATTTTGTAAAATTAATTTTTTATTAAGGTTAAATCGGGTTTTATTAGATTTTTGCTTTTTCATGCCCATACATATGCCTATATAACCTATAACATTAACTGAGAAATAATAAAAATAATTGCAGAATATCACATGCCCCCAAATCTTATATGTGTATACATTAACATTAAAATACATATTATATTATAACATACAGTCTATATTATATTTCTTCATTTATGTAGGTATCACATATGTACAAAAATATAATTACGTATATCGCAAAAGCTGAATTTACAGTTCATATAAAGGATAATTGCATTTGTAATTTTGAATATTAAAAAATTTATAAAGTTCTTCTTTACATGTCAATTTGGCTCATTTCAGTAAAAGTTATGATTGATTTGATGAAAGTTAGAACAAGAGATTTCCATTTTTATTAAATCATTTTTAAGTCATTAATAAAATTTAAAATTAATTTCATTGCTCTTCTTCTTATGAAAGAAAAACAATTATAATCTTTATCTTTTGTATATTTTAAATATTTTATTCAACGCGCATTCCTTTTAAGGATATAGAATAGCAATTAAAAACGCACGTAAAATACATATACCAGTTTTTATAAAAGGAGCCATTGAGAGGAGTTGTAAATGTTACGAATTATTTCTCTATTGGCTTTCTGTACTTTTGTAAAACGCCGGGTATTTAAAGCTATGTTTACAGGTTAACTTTTACATTATAGTAAGGTAAATGTTTATACAAGTTATTTTGTATAATACAAAAATAAATTTGACTAGCCTTTATATACATTACATTACATACGTTTTATATAGAAATTGTAATCCTAACTATCAATACAAGTATAATTAGACCTGCTTGTAGGTGTAATATGCAATGACATAAAATTTATAATAAGAGGCTTTCAGAGAAAATGACCTGAAATTTTCAAATGCAATGTATAGAAAATCAGAATAAAAATAATATTTCATATTATTGAACTTCGCGCTTTCATATCAACAAATTTAATAATTATGTCTGAATAACCTAACCGAACACACTTTTTCAAGGTTTATACTGGCTAGTCCATTTAGTCGGTCCTAAAGAATTGTAGACAAATGGTTTTATTGTAATTCAACTTTTTTCATGGTAAATTATTTAATTGGGAATTACGCACAAATCAAAATATTTAACATTCTCTTCATTGAAAACATATTCTTAAATTAAAATATTTTGCTTTAAATATTGAGTTGTTAATTTGAGGCCCAGCAGATAGTGAGTCCTAAGACAAATGCCCTTCTTGTCTCCACCTCTGGCAGAGCCTATATATGCTTTACACAACAAACCCATGATATAACTGGGTGTATAGAAAAATAATAATATAGCAAAACTGACATATTAGCCTCCATTTTGTTTGCGACATAATTAAATTAGAGATTTTAGTATATCATTTAAAAATATTTTAATTTTTATAGATGTTATAAAAGTTTGTAATATTTTAAATTTCGTTTGACGAAAATTGGGAAAAAAACGCAATATATAACAATGGTAATTGACTTTCCTTAATTTCGCACGATTAGGATTTATAAGGTTACAAGTCATTTTATGCCTCACTTTGGTCGGAATACTGTAAATTACATATGATGAATGCCCATATTCGATAACAAATCAAACACGGACCAAACAATTTTTAATATTTAATTTGAGACTTTTATAAGAATCATGGTAAAGAGATACAAGATTCAATGGAAAAAATTTTTAAGTACACGACAGTAACAAAATTGAATAATTTCTAGTATGAAATTGTAACCTTAAAATCTAACGTTACGTAATTGTATCAACCTATGTTAGATAATAATTGTTATTATGATTGTTTTTGTTTAAAAATTTAAAAAACTTAAAGATTCAAGTTTTAACTTTTAATATTTTTTTTTTCAATACATTTCGTTTCTTTGAAAAAATTAATTAAATTTTAAGCTTGAAAAACTCAAATGTAAATAAAAATTAATTTTATTTAAATTAAAAATTATTTGCAATAAATAATGTCATATTCACATATACATACATTTAAGTTATGGATTCTGTCATATACATTCGTTTCTATATGTTAATAATATATTTTATATTTCATATAATTTTGCAAGGCTCAATGAGAAAGGGAAAACTTTTTACATTGAATACGACATTTAACATCAATTGAAAAATATTTTCGTAAGAATCCATTAACTTTTCGGCAAATTTATTTATATTAAATGTTTATTTATTAAAAGAAAAATTTTCTTCTTTTTAAAATTTTATAGTAGGGATCTAATAAAGGATTGAATTCGGGTAAATTTTATATTTTTTAATATTCTGTTAGAGTATTTTCAGTGAAAACAATAGCACGATGTTATAAAATATTAAAATTTCTAGCTAAACAAAAAGTAGAATAAAGGTACTGGTATTTTAGATGGTATAGGTTGATCTTGAAACTCGATTCATATTTTGTAAATTGTCTAGAAAACTGCGGTGTGTTCTGAACTTTGAAGAAGCAGTTACTGCTTCTTCAAAGTTATTTTTAAAATTTTGCAATTATCATCTCTCGCGTAATTGAAACTAAGTCGAAGGTTAAGTGAGGATTGATAGTTTGTTTTACAAAAAAAACTCTTCTAAACTATGGCTGAGATTTAGCATTAACAAAATAAACAATTTTTATATTAACAACCTCTTTCTTAGTTGCTATTTATATGGATTATAAGATTTTGATGATATTGGCATTTTACTTTTAATGAGTGAACTAAAAAAAAAAAATTCAACTTGTTGGTCTCTGCTGGAATAATGCGCGATTCCTTCTAAATAATAAGTTTTTAGATTTTGTAAATTATTAATTCTGTATTTTATAATTTCATTAAAATTTTTGTAATACTGAACGTTACGAGTATATATTAAAATTCAGTAGCTTGAAATTTCCATAGAAGTTGTCTCCTCTTTAATTTCAAATATTTTTTTGATATTTAAAGTTGTTGTGTATTTAAATATACATATATTTATGTACGTATACCGGTATACCATACATTTTACCCTAAAAATACTTAATTTTATAAAAATTTTAATGTTTCAAAAAATTTTTTGTAACCCTCATCATTTTATTAAAATAATGTTATAATTTTTAAATTAGTTAAAAGCAATCTAATCTCTTAGATAAAATTATGAACTTTTTTGTTATTATATCCATATTATATAATGTTATATACATAGATATATTTATCATTAGTATTGATAAAATTAAA